CCTAGACCCACACACTGCAGACTCGCGGCAGAGGCAGAGGAAGAGCCCGCATACTGCAGAAGCTGAGTGTGAATGAGAGAATGTGAGAAAAACAAATATAAACGGGGTGGGTTTAGCCACTCCAAATATATTTCTTCATTCTGGCTATACAATGATACAATCGGATCCCAATTTTGTGATCTGATAGATATGGTCATTCCCTACAGAATGGCGGTTTTTAGGTTTATTTTATCTTCAAAATTTAAGATTTGGGAGGTTTTCGAGCTTTGCGGAAGGTGGGATGGTCCCATTTTTTAAATACACTTGTAACAGTGTCAGCATACAGAAGTCTGAATGCAAAATTTGGTGGCTCTAGCTCTTATGGTCTCTGAGATCCAGGCGCTCAACAAGACGGACGGACAGACAGATATGGCTCAATCGACTCGGCTATTGATGCTGATCAAGAATATATATACTTAATGGGGTCGTTTCCTTCTGTGTTAAATACATTCACTTTGTGCACAAATACAATATACCCTATTTACTCTTCGAGTACCGGGTATAAAAAAAGCGATACCAAAGCACAAAAGGAGTGGACGGAGAGTGAAACTCTTGCAGCAACGGCGACTGGCCAAGGAAATGATTCAGTTAGCCAAATATGAATCAGACCGACAACGCTACACGTAGTAAAATTTTCCAATTTATGAGATATTTAAAACAGCAATAAAATTGGTACTTTTTCCCTGCACATTCTGTGCAATAATGACCGCTAGGTTTCACAGCAGATTTTTCGAAAGTGGCGCCATCTATGAAAATTTCTTATACGCAACTTTGATGGTCACTCTTTTTCTAATACAGAGCGTTAAAACCCGAGTATTGGTTTTAACTTTTAAAAAATTAGCTTTTGGCCACTGTTTCCGCAACTCCTCGCAACCAGTTCGGAATCAAAATCTCGAAATAAAAAGCCAAGTGCTGCTGGTTCGACCGAGTCGGAATTCAAATCAATTTAATCTCTTCTTCTTTTCAATTTCGATAATTACCAATTAAATGCATGCTCTTCCTCTTTCTCTATCGTATTCACATATTACATGTATGTTCTATAGCAACAAACTTCTGTCAGTATGTAATTGCTCCCGGCCATAAGCCCTTTGCGCTAATTTGGCGTAAACAGCCATCAAAACTTGGGACAATAGTGCATCTGCACCTCAGCGGTGTTTTGTCAAATTTTAAATTTTTTATTCATCTGTCATCTACATCTACAACACTTCTCACACCAACACGCTCGCCGCCCTTCCCTAGACCCACATACTGCAGACTCGCGGCAGAGGCAGAGGCAGCGATCGCACACAAAAAAAACCAATATAAGCTGCGTGACGGGGTGGGTTAAAAGTCGGAAGAGGCAGCGGCAGAGGCAGGGGCCGAGTGAAGCAGAAGCAGAGTGTGAATGAGAGAATGTAAAAAGCAAAAGAACAAGAAAAGCTGCGGGACAGGGTGGGTTTAGCCACTGGAAACTAATTTCTCCATTGTGGCTATAATAATGATCCGATCGGATCCCAATTTGGTGATCTGATAGATATGGCCATTTCCTACGGAAAACAAGAAAAGCTGCGGGACAGGGTGGGTTTAGGCACTGGAAACTAATTTCTCCATTGTCGCTATAATAATGATCCGATCGGATCCCAATTTGGTGATCTGATAGATATGGCCATTTCCTATGGAATGGATTTTTTAGTTTTCTTTTATCTTCAAAACTGTAGAGGTTTTCGCCCTTTTGCGGGGGCGGAAGGGGGCGTGGCTCATTTTTGAAATACACTGGTTTCAGGGTGAGCATACAGCAGTCCGGATCCAAAATTTGGTGGCTTTAGCTCTTATAGTCTCTGAGAACTAGCCGACAAACAAGACGGACAGACGGACAGACAGACATGGCTCTATCGACTCGGCTATTGATGCTGATCAAGAATATATATTCTTTACGTTTCCTTCTGTGCGTTACATACAACCGTTATTCCCCACAAATACAATATACCCTATTTACTCTTCGAGTACCGGGTATAAAAATAAGGTGCAGGTACACTGAGTGAGTACCGGATATGAAAGATGTTAAGCCAAAGAAGCGTCTCACACGTCCCTTCTCGTTGTAAATACACTTGTAACAGTGTAAGCTTTATAGTCACTGTGATCCAGGCGCTCAACAAGACGGACGGACAGACAGACAGAGACATGTAGAATATACATACATTTGTATGTACTTTAAGGGTTCGGAATGACTCCTGTGTGTTACATATGTACATCCACTTTGTGCACAAATAATAAGAGGACACAGGATTACACTTTTTTTTTATTTTATTAATATTTTTGCAATTAAAAGCTTAATATTTTCCATATGGTAAGCTTAAACACAAAGTGTTTGCGTAAATAGTATAGATGCATTTATCAGCTTTAGATAATGGATTAGTTTATTACAACCAGATGTAAGATACTTAAGTTATGTGAAAAATAAGTACCAGACTTTAAGAATTCTTTAAATACACTTACTGCCATAGAAAAAAACCAGAATTCTTAAAACAATATTTAAGGACTCAGTCTATCAGAAAAAGCCGGTTTGGTGCGAAGTTGAAAAAATAGTTAAATTTTGTTGGGTAGTGTTATGGACTAGGAATAAATATAAATTATTATCAGTACAGGAGAGGACGTAAAGAAACGATTTACAAATTTGCCAAACTAATTTGATGGTAAATTTCGGAGGATATTATATGGTAAAAGTAATTAGCATAAAGCATAAAGCCCGGAAATTTGCATAAAGGTATTCAGAGGTTATAAATGTTTAAGAGCAGCCTGGAAAGCAGCATTTTTTTTCTCTCTTTATATTTACAATATGTTTGTTTAAAAAATAAGTAAATTGTATAATTAATATTAAATTAACAGAAATAGCAGTTTTCCAATGAGCCCTGATATTATATATAACATCTTTTCAGTTTGTTGAATTTATCTATCGGGGAGATCGAGAATGTGGTATCTTTTCAGTCTTCTTACTGTTAGGCTATTGTCTAATAGACTTAAGGCTAAATTATTTTCGTGGTTGTGGAGTCTGTCGATGTATTTCTTACTAGTTTTCTTTATTTCTTCTTTAATGGTTGGAATATTAAGATCTTTGTGGATATTTGCATTAGATACGTAAAACGGAATGTGTCGCAAAGTTTTTGATTGGTAACGCTGAAGTATCTCAATATTTGAGTTGCTAGCAGTCCCCCAGAGCTGTATAGCGTAGGTCCAAACAGGCTTCAGTATGGATTTGTAGAGGCGAATTTTGTTTTCCAAAGCGGTTTCTGATTTTCGACTTATCAACCAGGACTTTTTTAGTGTTTTAAGTCTAAGTTGTTGCAATATAAATTAATGGTTTTTCAAATACGTAACATTCAAATTCCACTCACAGAACGTTTTTTGCTATTTTTTGTTTTTCCCTTGTTAGTTTTAACCTTATTTTGCAAACTATTCAATACGTGGAAGTCATGAAAGCTAGATAATCTTATACAGAACTGATTCATGAATCGTATTAAATTATATTTTTAGTTTTTGGTAATCCTAACTAGTATTAAAGTTGAATATCAAAATCGAGGAAAATGCTATACGACATACAGTATATTTTGAAAATTAAAAGGTAAATTCGTGTATATTTTTTTTAGGGTTAGGCGGTATATTTAATTGAAAAATCCGCAGCCACACTGTTCGTTATTCGCTGTAAATACAAAAACAAAAAAATCAAAAACAAAAAAGTCAACAAAAATGACTCACTCGAAATATTAATCAAAATAAAAGTTAAAGCGTTAAAACAGTTCGTGCTGCTCTCTGTCCCGAACCGAACAGTGCAATGGGTTTATTCGGCAAAACTCCAAGCAAAGACCCCAAAGAACAGGTAATAACACCTTCAACACGAAGAAAAATATCTAGAGAAATGATGTCATGTTCGAGTTGTTTTGCTTGAATTGTTGTTTTATTTGCATTTCTTTTATTCTCGGCTATGTGAATTGCACACAGGTGCAAGAGTGGACGCACAAGATACGAAAAGAGGGAAACCAGCTGGATCGGCAAATACGCAGCATACAGAGAGAGGAGGATAAAGTGAAGCGCTCGTTAAAACAGGCCGCCCAGAAAAATGACCGTGACACCTGCGTCATTCTGGCCAAAGAAATAGTGAACGCTCGCAAGGCCGTCAATCGCATATACACTTCAAAGGCTCACCTCAACTCCATACAGATGCAGATGAAAAATCAATTATGTGAGTGGCCGTGAAGGATCCGTGTCTGTCTGGAGACTTTAATTGATGTGCTCATTGCTCTTCTAGCCACACTACGTGTTGCTGGCTCACTGCAAAAGTCAACGGAAGTCATGCAGGCTATGCAGAATCTGGTGCGCTATCCGGAGCTGGCGGGTATTATGCGCGACATGTCGAAGGAGATGATGAAAGCCGGCATTATCGAGGAGATGCTGGATGAGACAATGGACTCACTGGAGGAGTCTGAGGAGCTGGAAGAAGAAGCGGCAAAGGAGGTGGACAAGGTTCTGTGGGAGATAACGGATGGCAAGCTCGGGGAAGCTCCCCTGCCACCAGAGGCTACTCCAGCGGACAGAACACCGGCATCGCCCTTCAAAGTCGGGGTCGAGGAGGACGATGACGAAGGCGAAGAATTGCAGGAGATGCAGAGCCGGCTGGCATCGCTGCGTTCCTAGACTAATTGCAACAGGCAGAGGGTGTCTTATTAATTATTGTCGGGTGGTAGGGCGGCAGACTCTATTCCAGCACTTTGAAAAAATGTCTCCGTCTCAAAATGTCAGATGATAGCACCCGAAACAGTGAATTATAAAAACCAAAATACTAGCAAGTAATGGACAGTTTCTCTTTTTCTATCTCTTACCATAAGTGTGTGCACTGCATTGCACTTCTGTTCAAATGTTTTTGAACTCCACGCTTCCACACTTTAAACCGTTACATTTACAAAAGTTACACTTTATTTATTGTATAATTTTTTTTTATTAAAAATCGATATTTTCTGTAGAAATGTCCACCCAAAATTCAGCACCTTCTACCCGGCTCATTCAACATGATTTCCAAATTGAAACGCCATTAAGTTCCATTTCTAGTCTATGGCCGGACGTTATTCTCAATAAAGTCCAGATATGCCGCCACTCTGGTGTATACACCCGGCCATCCTTTCAGACCACACGGTGTTGGGCCGTAGGAGACTACGCCAGAGATGTAGTAATTGGAATATCCCTCGTTGTAGTCTTCCAACAAAAGGGGCCCTCCAGAATCTCCGCGGCATGAATCGACTCCCTCAACGCCGCCAGCGCAAATCTGATTAGAGGTCACGGTCCGCCGCTGGCTGGCATACCGATTGTTGCAGTCACCCAGTGGAACTGTATCCACTTCCGCCTTTAACTTTTTGTTGGATGTAAAGTTTGTCTCGGTACGACCCCAACCAGCGACTACCATTTTGCGTCCTAGAAAGCTCGAATCTCGCTGTGATGCTAAGCTGGGCAAGCACACCGGCGAAATGTTTTCTGTAAATGCGACTGGGTCTCTCAGCCGCAGCAGTGCAATGTCGTGCAGCTGGTCCCGTGCGTTGCCTGGGTACTGCGGATGAGGGACTCGTTCAACCACGGGGTTGTCCACGTAGAGTGCATTGCAGTCGCTGCGGCCGTTCTTTTCGGTTGTGCAGTCTGGATTGGTGCTCGTATCCCACTCTCCCAAACGCACTCCCGTCAGTTGCCAGTCGCTTGGGATGGCGGAAACACAGTGTGCAGCTGTGATTACATAGCGATTGTTGATCAGCGACCCACCACAGTGGTGGCCTTTGACGTTTCCGGCTGGTATTGGAAATACATGCGTCTCAGTCAAGTCTGAATCAAAATTGTTTGTACTCACGTTTCGTGTACTCAATAAGCACCATCCAAGGAAACTCCCTTTTGCCCGTCTCCTTTCCTCCAACCACGCGATCACCGAAATTCTCTCCGCAATTGGGCGGCTGGGGCAGTAGGCTCGAAGTGGTGGCTCGCTGTGTTGTGGTGGGCTGCTGCGGCCGCGGTTGACCCTGATTTCCCCACACCGGCTTCTGATTGACTCTGCGGTTGTTCGCACAGCAAATCTGAAATCATTTGTTTACGTGTATGGTATGGTATTTTGGCGACATCCAGAATATTGTGTGTATTTACGAGGACTTGACCATTGAGATAGCCACACTGACTGTTCTGTAGGAATAGGCGATTCTCGGTCGAGATGGATCCCCTTCGCACCAGCTCGTATATATATTCGCATTCCTTGAGGTTAATGCACGTACCACTGCTCTCATCGGGAGTTGTGCAATACCCGAAGACTTCTAGGGGGTAAAGATAAAACCCACACAAGTTAATGCATCAACAGCAAGATGTAAGGGGAATGCCCCCAGTAGAATTGGCAGGGTCAAGTTCAACGCTGATAGTCAAATGATTTTTGTGACTTTCCAACCTGTAGACTGGAGCTGGACTCGACTCCCACTTGCCTTGTGCGTAAGCTCGCTGCCTTTCTCCAATAAATAGCACCAAAAGCCCAAAAATAATCTTCAGTTCCATGGCGTTAAATGCCGATTTAGAAATCGTTTCTGTCTTATTTTATAATATATATTATGTATAGTGAAGAACGCGCTTGACCGTGCGCCTGCCTTTGCCTGTTGAAATAACACTGAAAGCGGCTCTGAAATGCTAAACGCCATTGTCCCCACATGCTGTTGTCGCTGTTCGTTGTCGTGGCTTGTCGGAGCCTAAGGTTGAGCTTATCAGGCAGTGATGCGAGAAGCCGCTGTTCTCTCCCCATGGCCTGGTCAATGTGGCAAACCAGTAATGACAGAATCCCAGAGCGCGGTTCTCAGCTCAGCTGAGATGAGTTCCATGCGACATAGGGCTGGGTCTGGCTGTGAGTCTGGTTCTAGCAATACTCGTACAAATACGAGTATGTACATATACATACATACACTGTCAGCGCGCTCTCAACTTCGACTCCGAGGCGTGTTAAACGACGCTAATGGACCATCTTGCCGTTTCTTGCGCTCTCGTTGCCTCATCATCGCAATTTCCACTTGAATGGACCGATGATTTTATATCTCTGCCATACTCGAAGCTGACAGGTCTTGGCCCGTTTTAATAGCCATCGCCATGCCATCCACTTTAAAAGTGCCTGGCGCTTCTGCAGCCGACAAGTCGATTGAGAGAGTGCGTTCTGTTCAGTTTTTTTTTTACATACAAATGTACATATGTACATACTGGAATACGTACATATATCCCAAACCGCACAAACACATGGCACACAAACGCCATATTATGTATACTCTGTAAATGCATATGTATGTACATATGTATTTCGTTTGCATATCTAATTTTCATTTTATTCGATGTACATAAATATATGCACAATATGATTATGGTTGAAATATTTGTGCATAGCTAGGCATGTGTAGTGCCAAGTTAGTTAATTTGTGATTTACGCACTTGTGTGGGAACAATCGAATTGGATGGGGGATCCACATGCCGAGGAGCTGGGAGCCCTCAAATACGTCCAGTACCCATTACTAGTCATTAGAGTGCAGTGTGAGTGCATAACTATCTTGTTATGATTTTGTGTTCACATACATTCATATGTATGTACATATGTAAATATTTATGTGCAATGTATGGGTTTCTTTTTATCAAAACAGCATTTTAAAATTAAACCATTTTTTGTTTTCAAGGATTGCAAAAGAGGTCGCCACTAACTTTTGTACATACGTATGTATGTATGTATGTATATTGGGTTGTCTTGAATAAACCGCATTTAGTGGTTTTTAAAAGTTGACATCGAACTCGAGTAAACTCATTGCTTTATGCCAATTATGCTTTGGTTATAGTTATACCTTCGATGTAAAATTATATACAATTTTATAGAAAATATAGGAATTAAATGCTGGATTCTGTCGGTCAGTTGAATATGGAACGATACCACAAATCATCCACAGTTGCTTCATAGTTGGGGTCAGGTTTGACCGATATTGATAAGGGAAAAGACTTTGCCCTTAAAGTGTTGAAGTGCATGAACTGCACGCTATATCGCACATATTAAATGTACAGTGGGGAGCAGCGATGACTACATGTTCACCGACCTTGGGCTTGCCGTTTCGGGACAACATTTTGCATCTTTTCCACTCAGATCACCACCGATTGGCTAATGCCAAGTTTTTCAGCAGTATTAGATGTCGTATAGCCATTTTCCGTGAGCTACACTGAATTTACAATTTCTGGATATTTTTACTTCAGTCTCAGGTACAACATAGGCACTATTTAATAAATTCATGAAATCTGCTTCGATTATTATGATAAATGTCTTAATTTGATGTTAGTATTACTAGAATATAAAAACAAAATATATTTAACATCAATTCTGTGAGTAATTGTTGATGTTGTGTAATTGTTGATTAGCAAATTTAGAAATATAAAATAACGAAAAGTGCAAAGCTGAGTACATGCGAGTTTTTTTAGTTTTTATGTTTCGCTATTTAATAGCTTCACATTTGTATTTATCTGGGATTGCCTATTTGTTAAGGACTAAGTGATAGATATTTAAAAAAAAATTAGTTGAGTTTGCATTATGCGTTTAGAAGTTATGTGCGACGAAATTCAGTTACTGTGAACATGTACTCATCATTGCTTCCCACTGTATATTCCCAATTCCAAAGTGATACTCGTATGTGATTTGTAAATATTTATAAATCTCACTCCATATATGTATGTAAGTAGGTAGGTATATCAGTACATACGTGATACAGTTATTCGATCTAGCTAGTTTCGACTCATGGGCTCATGTAAAAAAGAGTGTTTGGAGGTTGTTCATATGTATATCAAAAACATTGTAATAATTTTGTTTTTTAAATTAAATTAACTTATTGATTTCTCTTCCTGTTGGATTTTGCTTTAGTGAAGGTACTGCAAAGGGCTTGAAGCAGCTTCCATCCCTGATTTGACAAGTTTAATCCATCCAATTTAAGTCTTTGAACAAGTGTCGAATGGCTAGGATGGTAAAACAAATCTGAAAAGCTTTAACCAAGTGCAAGTAAGTACTTTTCGTCTATTTAAGTAACAAAAATCGTCGCACTTACTCCACAAGTACAAGAAAATCATGAAGTATGGAAGGAAGCTGCTTAGAAATAACCCAGTCGAGAAGTAGATCTTACATTTCTGGATACATATGGGAGAAAATCAGTCTGGCAGGACGATCGCTACACAAATGAAAACTCACATTTCTTATACCAAGCAATGTTAATATCCCTGATCCGGAGTGCAGAACTCCCAGCAAAATGCCAATGGGAAAAAGTCCCTTGTAGACGTCAAGTGGAAGTATCTCGAAGAAACGACCGTTTATTTTAAATTTTTGTTCGTATAAAAGTGGGTCAGGTAAATCTGCTGCAGAGTTGAAAAATCCAATTATTCCTTTAACTTCGTAGTAATAGTCTAAGTCGAAAAGAAATTTATGTAAATAATTTTAGAGAATTAATATGTAGAATGACATTGAGTTTACATATATGTATATGTATGTATGTATATGCATATGTACATGTATATTGAGTAGGTTAATGTATTAATACAATACTTACAAAAGGAATCTAGCTCGATCGCTTGAAAATAGGTTATTACCAAGCCTAAAACTATATTACAGTACCCGAAAATCGCCAAGAGATACACATTATATCTCACACACATTATTTATCGAGTTGTTCATTATTTATGCATGTACGAGAAGCATATTTTAGCTGAAAGTAAAAAAATAGACAATAAAATCATCATAAATTTGACAAAAAACGCTAAGGTACAGGTGTATGTAGTACTGAGTACCGGGTATAAAAGTTGAGACGCGTAAGAAGCGTCTCACACGTCCCTTCTCGTTGATTTGTATTTTATGCATAATTTGTTCTCTATTTAATTTTCGTAGATTCAAGTAGACTTTGATCTCCTATATCCTGAAAAGGGACTTTGTTTGTCTCAAAAAAGGGACACTTTCAAATCTAAGATTTCGAAATATTATTCTTTAAATATTACAAAGGTATGAAAGGTAAATATGAAACATACTTAAATTCAATACGAGACATAATTAAATTCAATATGCATTAAATGAAATGTGTTTAAATTAAATATGAAACGTATATAAATTCAATATGAGAAATTAGTTAAGTTAGTAGTAAGTAGTAAAGTAGTAAGTTAAATAACTTAAATATGAAATATATTTGGTTGAAATATGAAATAGATTTAAATTAAATATGAAATATTTTTAAATTAAATATGAAAAATATTAAATTTAAATATGAAACATATTGAACTTTTAATATGAAATATATAAAATGTTAATACTTTCATATTTATACAAAATTGTGAGTAAAAATATCAAATTTAATAAACATTTCTGAGAAGAAAATCAATTGAATAAATATTAAAATCTAAGTGAAAATATTTAAATTTCAGGCCTTTGTTTTATCTGTGTACAACATAACCTATTTACTCTTCGAGTACCGGGTATACAAAAAGGTTTTTAAAATTCGAAAAAAAAAAGTTGTCAGAAAACAAACCATAGTTAATTAAAAAAATGGAATGACCCAAATCTATTAGAAATAGTCGGCTTGGTTCGTTGAGGAGAAAAAAATTGGATCTTGTCGACTAGCGTTATTGAAATAAAATAAGAGGAAACATATTACATCTTGGACTTGCTTCTGCGCTTATACAGTCACAAATAAAGGGTGAATTCCAAATGACAGATCAACGCTGAGTCATCTGGGTTTTCACCCTTGAAATCACTAAACGTAATGAGCGGAATATACGAATGTCATATACATATGTACATATGTAGTGTGAGTAAGAGCAGGAGTATGTACCATTCATGTGAGCATTTGAGCATGCACGTAGTCATACACGTACTCTTACATACATACATAAGTATGTGTGTCGACCCATCAGGGTATTCCCCGCCCAAATGCCACAAAATAGCAGCACTTACTCGTATAGTAGCTGGATGACCAGGCGGTCAAGAAATTACCGCTGGGGGGAAGGGAAGCTGGCTGGGGCTCGAGTGGGTTAGGGTGACGGTCAGGGTGAGAGTGCAAATGAATGGGAAAAGTAAGATGGATGATTTCAATTTGTTACAAGTGCTTTTAAGTTTAGATCGAGCTGGAAGGATGCGAATGGCCAAGCGCACCCTCAAGATCCAGGCGGCATCCCTCTGAGTGGCTGCGTGTGTTTCTGTTTATTTAGTGGCAGTTAGTTTGCTGATTTAATGCCATTTGCCACTTGAGGAGAGAGTGGACGTCGTCAATTTTACCATTTCATTTGACAATGCATTTCATTACGGTTTACCTCCAGGTTACCTCTGGTGTGTGGCATGTATTAAATTATAGTGGAGTCTGCACGGAAGGAGCAGGTTCAGGAGAGCTATCTGCTGCAAATGTCGATGCCGAAGCCGATGCCGATGCTGTTGTTTTGGGCTAATAAACACGGTGCTTCACACTTGGCTGACTGCAAAGTGTCTGTGTATATTTGGGTGTATTATGGGGTGTCGGCGGGTACGACTGTGTTTGTATAATTAAAAGGTCTTGCTGCATTATTTATAAGTCCTCCCACACCCGTACCAGGTGGACTGGCTCTTCAGTCCTGAAAACGATTCCTGAAAAATATTTCGCATTTTGGGTCATGCTGGGCTCATCTCTCTGGGAGGCGGTCTGTGCGACGGCTCTGTATGTTGATGCCAAGTCTATAAACGGCAAATCAAGTGACGAGCGGTAGCGAAGCATTAAAATGTCAACGATGTCAATTGTTCCGAAATAGCTATGAACTTTTTTAATTAAATGAAATATGCCAACTGGCATCGCAAGTACTTTTTGTATTGATTTGTTGAACGTGCGCCACGACAAGGAAGTTTTGCCATCTCATCCCTTGCCCTTATATCAGGCTATGCTCCATTCTCCATTCTCAAACTTCCATTCTCCATCTTCCATGGCCAACCCTCGACCTTTTGGCCGATATAGGTGTGATGACTGTGTTGCAGCGAAAATGACAGGGACAATGCCAAGACACAGAGGAGAGAGTTTCCGACAGCATCGCACCGTCATAGGGCACAGAGAGTCTCTGAATTCCAAACACTTTGGAATTTTGTGTCTAAACAATGCGGACTCGCAAAATGACAGCAGCCTGAAATGTTGGAGAAGAGTTTTACCAAATTCCAATAAAAGTATTCAGCAACGGAAGACGTTGCCGGAGGGAGGCCTGTTTGTGGGCTGGGCTGGGTGCCCTCTCTTCATTAATTTCGCATGCTGCTCGTATCTGTCACCAATCCCCCAGGGAAATCAAGCAAAATCAAAGGGTAGGGTTGTGTTTCATAATGCATTTAAAAACTCTTTATTGGAAATTAACTCATTCTATATTAATATACGATCCAACAGTAAATACAATATAACATATTACAATGCAATACAATACAATGGAATACAATCCAATTCAGAACAAAACCCATGCACTTGCCCGCGTAGGTAGACGTGGACTCGTACAGAGAGGCCAATGGGTAGTACTTATTCTTCGACAGAACCAGTCGCCTTAGATAAACACGAACGCTAAGTTGAACTTCAATAACTGGCTAGATGATAACTATTATTAAGATGTATTTGAGGAAATCCGAGACCTTACTCGGTACCTAAATTGTTCATTGTTCTAGCATAGACGAGAGGTGCCATCCGTAGAATTCGGTTTGCTTAGACTCTTGGGATGCTTTCAGCTTCAACTTTTACCAGAGGATTAGTTGCCGCAACTGGATTTTTGTTTTATAAAATTAAATTATACAGGAAAGTATTTTTACTTTTGAATCAGCACCTTTTTCAAACTATTGTTCGATTTGGCATAAATTGTATATGGCCCTAGATACTCGATATTTTTTTAAATTTCATTTCGGGTATGCTCGTTGCGGCATCGTTAAAAATAGATTTCGTTCATCTACCTTTATATTTAGGTTTTGCATGTATATATTGAATCGCAAATTTATGGTTGATTAAGGTATAGAAACTTTAATATATTCATATGAATTTCTTGTATATATATTTCTTTATTTATTTATTTTCTTTCTTTGCTCTTTACTTGATCATATCAATATATGTATATATGCAAGTATAGTTCATAAAACGTTTAACAATAATTTCAGTCGGTCATTTTGGTATGTAAATTATATATACTTAGGCTATAATTACTTCTGCTAGCTGCTTTTGTTTTTGCGTTTTCATCCGAATGTTCGTGTTTTCACATTTTTGAATCTCTTTTATCCTTCATCATTAACTTGTAAACTCTTGTAATATTCAAAATTAAGACACGAAATCGTTAAGGTATAGATATGATTGTATTATTGAATGATTGTTGTAAAAACGGCAGATATCTTTTCCAACTATCCTTCATAGGGTGGTTGGGCCTGAACAGACACAGGACCGTAAAAAGTATGAAGTTCGAATATCCTTCCGATCGGACTTACAAATGTCGGTACTTATGTCGGTAACATCGCCAACATCTTTCGAATACTCTTGGAAAAGATATGGAATCATCGGCGAGCCGAGTCGGATCGGTTTTTACTATGCCATATTTATTAAGTAGTTATTCGTATGATATCGTGAAATATAGGTTGAAATACGCAAATACATAGAAGAATGATTGAGCAGATTGTATAGTACATGTACATACATATGTATGTCTATCAGAAATCGTCTAAACTCAGCAATACTTTAGATCGTTTCAAGGACCTTAACCTAATACTAGACTTCCACTAGGGTCATTGGAATTTCAGGTACTTTGAAAAATCTTATTAATCTTATTTGGCATATAACGAAAACACTAGAACCATCTACAGTACTCGTACATATGTATGCTAGTGCTTCTATATGTATGCTCTGCGAATGCTCTGAGAATGTGCCCTCTGCACCGTTGAAAGACTGGTCTGGTCTGGTATGGGATGTGGCGAATATGCTATTCTAGTTGATCTAAACTAATCTCGTTGTTAATTCATCATTGATTTTTTCACAATTTGTTGCTAAATGTATTTCTTTGTCTATTCGATTGGTAAGTAGATGTACCGTTAATTTGATATCCTCTAATCGTTGTGCCTACGGAGTAATCGGATTTCGAGCGCCCCTAAAATATATATTTATATATGCACGTAGCTTGGCTTATCGTTGGAGTACAAAGGAACTAACTGCATCACTGTGCGTTGTGATTTCATTCAAGTGATTTCACAAGTTCTAATACTATGTGATCAGATATCCAACGTGCAAACACACTGGTCATATATAGCAGTATAGCTGGGCACCTTCCCGGGTACGTATGTATTACCATTTTAAAATGAATGTAGTCGAGGTAAACCTAGTTCAGACACAAGTTAGTATAGCACCCATGGCATGTCCTGGGCCGAACAAGAGCAGGCAGACAATGCACGTTGAAGGGTTAAAAGAGCACGTGAGCTTCGGCTAGCCGAAGCCGGTTGTTTTTCTTACTATCATGCACACATGCATACATACAAACATATGTAGACGGTGAGACACCCGTACACCTGTACTGTTCACGGGCACCGTATGCATGCGTTTGTGTAATCTGAAACCGAGACCGAATCATATCATCATCGCAGGACTCTCATCTTTTCGTTTTGAGTCTTGTTTAGAACAAGTTTCTCAGTGGACAACTTTTGAAAGCATCACTAAGACGTTTCTTCAACTTGGCTGGAAGTAGAAACAAGACAAATCAGTTAACACGAACACCAACGGAATGAACATCTTTGATAACTTGGTAAAATTGCCTACAAAGGTGACATGTAAAACTGCAATAAAAACTGAAGGGAAGGAATAATTCAGAACATAAATGAAAGAGTAGAGTTTGTACGGAGTTTGAGTGTTTCAACCTCTCAGTATGTGTGCCCTACCCCTAAGGGACTTTTGTTTTCAATCTGCTGTGGTCTTCAACTTTTTCGTTAGTGGCTGTGGCTGAGACTGTCAATGTGGTGTGATGAAAAATGGAAACGGAATTGATTGGCTGAACCTACCTTTACCCAGGCCACGAAGTGAGTGGTTGGTTATACTCGTACAACATTAAAAAGTTACACAGCTTAACAAAATCGAAACTCTTAAGTACATATGCCTGTGCTTGTACAAACGAGTACTTACTGAAGTCCTCTGATGCGCGGTTAAGGCAGACGCGCCTGGGGGTGTCTGGATGACACACGCAACTCACCTTTACCTCATGGGCCCAGCTTGAATGGCCCAGTAGATCTAAAGGCTAATGCCGACGCAGAATTGTTTGCATGGCATTTGCTTAATACATATTTGATAACGTATCACATTCCATTACACAATCTTTTTACAGTTTTCTTAGCAATATAGAAGAGTAGGTTTCGTAATAGAGATAGGCAGCAGACGGCAGCACCAGAACCTCAGCCTGTTGACATACGTATTGTACCATATCCTATATCTGACACACGAACACGTGGGAGTACCTGTAGGCATGTACAATATGTATGTATGGATGGTTCTGAAGTGGAAGGTGGAAGTTGGAAAATTTGGTGGTACGTAAACAGACACAGAGATAGACGAGATCGGTGGATAGGTGGATGGGAAGATAGATAGATAGATAGAGATACAGGTACAGAGAGAGAGAGAGAGAGAAATGTAGATAGAGACACGCACACACATATAGAAAAACATATAGACTAACAGTCATGCCAAATCAAGATCGCTATACGTATCGGATATCGGGCAGGCAGAAAGTCAAGGTGTAGATAGTAGGACATGTATAGGGGTTGGGTTGGGTCGGGTCGGGTCGCTTGATGTGTTTCGAGGGGTTCTTCGGGGTAATACCGCCTAGGAATTAAAACCCAATGTATTGTTGTGTTTTTTTAATATATATTTATACATATATATATTGTTTTTATTATTCTTCTTTGGTTTGGTTTGAATTAAATGTTCAAAGTAACAATATAATTATTCAACTATTAACGCTTTCCTTAGGTTTTTGTTGTGTGTTTTTTTTTATCCTTTTCTTGTGTATAGAACTGCTTTCACATCTAATAATGACTTGAATGGTATTCTTTTCAACATTATTATTTTTTTTATTTTTTTTTGTCTGTTGTTTCTCTATTAAATTCATTTCCCTATTAAGTTACACATATAAATATACATATAGATATACATATACATAACATATACATGTACATATACATATAAATATAGATATACATATACATATACATATACATATAGATATACATATACATATACATATACATATACATATACATATACATATACATATACATATACATATATAGATAATAATGTATAATTATCTGCTTTAATGAACTTTCTGATATACATATACATACATTATCATAACTATAATATTAACGATAACACAATATTAATCAAATGAACAAAATTAAAATCAGCTGAACCATTTAACATTTTAAACATTTATGATTACGTTAAAAACTGGATAATGATTGAATAATATTGTATGTTTCAAGTTGCCTCTCCTTTGTGTTTGGGTTTTCTCATTAGCGTTTATTCAATATATTAAACAATTCAACTGCCCGTCAACATCGTACATCGTATAAGTATCTGAGAGAATAACGCAATGGATATTGTAGAATCTAAGTAAACATTTTCAATACGTATTTACTTTATAGAGAGCATAGAGTTTCGAGTTCGAAAGGAGCATAAGAGCTAAGATACGAGTATCTGGATTCGGATTTAGTAAAACTAGATTGGAATGCGGAAGGGAAACGCAGCTAAGCTAAGTAGTATCGTAGCTCTAGTAGTATAAGTACAAGTACAATTGTGGGTTAAAGTAACAGTTAAGAATTGTGGATTCCTCTTCCTTTGGTAGAATCATCATCTTAATCTCATCGTCATTGTATTCATCTATTCGCTACTCATGATCTAGTCATGTGAGCCACGTTAAGGCATTCTTTCATTAGTTCGATCGTTCCTAACTTGGTATGGACCGATGGGGGCACGAGGGATTGCTTTATTAGATTGACAGAGAGATGCGTTTAGGCCGTAGGTAACGATGGTCGTAATACTGCTGCCGCGCCGATATGTGTACAAGAAACATATGGAGTTAAGAACGGTTAAGAAGAATCTGAGAGTGATGTTTTTACTGATAGACGTACTGATAGGGTCTCGGCATTTCTTTCTTTGTATAATTGTTCATAATTCATCATAACATAACATACATCTTAAGCATTTTTGGTATATTCATTATATTGTAACTTTCTATGCGAATTGTACATACATTGTAAATCTCTTGTTGGTGGTTGGTTGGTTTGTATTGTTGTTGTTGGATCTGTACATATGTATGTATGTATGTATGTATGTATGTATGTATGTGTCTATGTAGAATAAGCGTTTACAACACCATTTTTGCTATTTAAATTCATGTGACTAGTATGAATTCATGTACTTATATGAATGTGTAACTGCATGTGTATGTGTGGTATTGATGTGTGTTTATGCTTTTAAAGATAAGCCATATATATATATTGTACAAATGAAGTTCACAACGTTCAGAAATATGTTAAGAAAAACTTGTAGCAAACTGTCATGAGTTGAGATTGAGGTTGAGTTGAAGTTGATGTTCATGTTCATCATGTTTATGTTGTTGTTGTTGTTGTTTTTGGCTGTGCTGTGGGCTTTTATAGAAGCTCATCTCGAACATACATATATGTACACATATTTGATGTATAACATTACTTTTGTTAGTTACTTTTGCTGTAGATGTAGTTGATGTTGATGTTGATGTTGTTCTTGTTTTTGTACTGGCTGTAGTGGTTTTCTTGTGCTGTTGTTCTTGTTGTTGTTGTTGTTGATGATGATATATCATACATAAAACACCGAGAGAAGAGTACATGTCTGAGAGGGACCATCGAGTCGTAGTTGTGAAGATTTGGTAGAGTTGTTGTTGTTGTTTCGTGTTGTTGCAAATGTTGTTCAGGTTGTTTTTCAGATATAAATATTTTAGGCAGAGTAGAAGTGGCGCAGATTAAAGATTTAAGAGAGTGTTTTAAACCAAAAGAAGAGAAAGAGAGAGAGAGAGAGAGACACCAGAGAAAGAGAGAGAGAGATATTTATATATATAGAATGCAGTGTGATTAAAACATTTATTCATTTATATGTATGTATATTATTTAGTTTTAGGTGTATGTACTTATATATCGACTAATAAGCAATGTATTCGACTGATAATTAAGAGGAAATCTAACTCCGGTCAACCGGATCACAAATGTCCTTCCAACTGTCCCATTAACTCGATTTATTATGACACATGTGATTCATATTCATTCTATGTATACTAAGAATCGTTGTGAGAGATACCATACCCATCTAGAGCGTGCATATTCATTGATAGGAATTATGGGTACATATGTACACACATATGTGAAACAGATGTTCGGTTGATGATGTCGATGCATGGGAGTGATACGAGTATGTAACGGATGATAACACAAGTCAGTACGAGCCTAATGGAAAGTAAATTAAAGTTCATCTTTAGCTTTACCATAGAACACCACTTCTTCGAAACCTGCTATTGGCAATGCAAGTGCAATGACTAGATCTGGAACTGGATCTGGGGATGGTTCGATTTGTATGCATTTACATATGTACGTATACCCATGCACAAAATTATTGCATTCTATGCCATAGAAGGATTTGTCTAACTATTTGGAATACATTAACAGGTATGTATTTATGTATATGTACAATTTTGGTGTTGGTGAGTGTGGCTTGTAAACACATTTGTATTTATGTAGGTGTGTGCCGTATACGACGGTATAACGGACGACGGATAGATCAACAGCTTATTGTTCCAGGAATTGTAAAGGGCATCGTATTCTGTGGCAATATGTCTTTGTTTTTTATTTACTAGATTTGCATGCATTTTTCTGTTACTGTTACTTCTGTTCTGTTGCTGTTTTGTGTTCGCTTTCTGATCTACTGTCGTGTCGTTTGGGTTTGGGGTATGGGTACGACCTGTGGGCCGGCGTGTGCGCTTATCGGTGAAAAATGTATGCTAAATGTATCACAGCATTATGCTCTCGAACTGCCTAGCGTCTCTTATAAGCTATTCTCCTTGTCTAAAAGACTACAGCTAATATTTTATTGTTTATGTTTTTATATTGTTATACAATATTTCCTACGGATTACTCGAAGCCGTCGCCAATAACTAATCACCAATAACGACACGGAAGTGTGTAAATACAAACAAATGTGAAATGAAACTCAAGTTGGGCAATGTTCAATGTATCATAGTATAGGCAAGGTACATAAGTATAATTATAGTTTTAGGTATAGTTAGTTAGTTGGTTTACTTACATTTCAGAAGCATCAATCAGTGAGATCAGTAACTGTCTCGAAAGATTTTAAACTCTCAATTGTAGTGTGGTATGTATTTTTGTATAGGAAAGAAACAAAATGTAACAGCTGTTAAAGAAGATTTGTTTTTTGTCAATTTCGAAACCAAACTGACTTAAGTCAGTTTTAAAATTTTGAATTTTCTTGGGTTGTAGGCGATCAGATTAGATAAAATCAGATTTCGGATCGGATCAGCTTGAAAACCAGCAATAATTTCAACGTCTCTGCAGTCAATTGGTTTGCAAATGTGATTAATTTTCTGGGGTTAAATTCATGGAAATGTACATAACATGTAATCATACACACGTATGTATATTTTGTATACATACATATACTTATATATTCGAATGGCAATTACAACATATGCGCCGATTTAGTTCATAATCTTCCCATACTCATTTATGGAATAAAGTCCAAAGTGATTTCAGCAAAGTATTTCGACGGTTCGACATTATTCAGCATCCTCTTCTGTCGCACCATTCGCTTAATTGGTTTTTCTTAGCTTTTTGCTTATATTATGTTTCTATTTATTTTTTATGTTTTTGTATTTTTTTAATGTTTTTTTTTTTAGTTTCGTTTTGTTTTGCAGCACATCGTACCGTTTTGTTAGTTTCATTTAGTTTCCTTTCGTTATTTTATTGTATATTATCAACTAAACAACGGTTATGTATTGTGTATTGGGGCTTGAGTATATTACATTATCATCGAAGCAAAGTGATTTATATATTATTAAAGGCGTTTACTATTTGTTAATTGGTTTGAAATAATTCGGTTTATTCCTTAGTAGTTCACCGTCCTGTTCGCATTTTGATTCGCATTCGCATGTCTCCTTCTTTGTTATTAAGTTAAGCTGTTATTTCATTAGCATTTTTGGTATACTGCATTGGAGGTCTTGCCAAAAACTCAGTAGAGTAGATCGGATCGGATCGGATCGGATTGTGTTCGATTTATTTCTGCCGGGTTACGGTTAGCCGGTTAGCTTTCTAAGGAGTTATATTCGTTTCGACTGTGTTTCCAATGATTAAACTCAACAGATCTCATAAGTATTAACAAATTCAAGGTCAGGATGCATTAAATAAATTTGGGTTTCATCAGTTAGGGGTTATTTGAATTGTTACTTGTTACTTGTGTTTCTATTATATTGGTTTTTTTATATTTGCTTTTTATGATGACTGACATATCACTGCATGACACATTTTCCCTCTATTTGAGTTTTTAGCTCATTTACTTGCGTTTCTATTTGATTTTTCAGTTCTGTAAAAGAAATTGAGTATGGAAACAGCAATAAATAAGCATATTTTGTAGAGTAGACTACAAATGATAGGCAGCTTAACTGTTATGTATATGTATTTTTGGTATTTATGGATTCTCATGTATGTGCATGTACTATGTACTGTAACTGTTTTACTGTAGCGCTTCTTTATGGGTAGGCAGCTGTAAATGTTATGTTGGGTACGGGCAGGTACAGTCGCCGTAGCCATAGCTGAGCGTTCAAATTTTAAGGATTCGGTGTGGGTGTGGGTGTGTTTCGCTAGTCAAATGAGGATAATCAAATACGAATCGAAACAAAGTTGCAGGAGTAGCTGTAGTTTTGACGTGTCTGCAGCAGAGATAGACACAGTACGAGTGTGTAGAAGAAGTCAGTGTCAGCTCCAGATAGTAGGTAGTAGGTAATAGGTAATAGGTAGAGGTAGAGTAAGAGTGATAGATAGGAGTTCGTAGATGCTGATGGGATGGGATGTGTGGAGATCAGTGCGGAGGAAATACACATACATATGCAGTATACGTGCTTTATATATATCTTACATACGATGGGCCATGGTGTAAAATACATATAGTACACATATTGAAAGGAAAGAGTAAACGAGAGGGAAAAAGTAATGTATTTGTTTCTTGTCCTTTTTAGATCAGAATTGGGTTTACTTTGAGTTCATCATGTTTGCTTTGTATTAGTTTGCTTCAGATTTAGTTTTTTACGAGTGTTCAGTTTCAGGATGCAGTTATGCACGCAAGTCGTTAAAGTGTTTAGAAACATTATATAGTTATATAGTACGAGTAGTAGAATTTCATACAAGGCGTTATCAGTTATCAAAAGTGCAGTTTGTGAGTTTGATGTATTTAAATAATATTGTAAATGTTTGAAATCAGTTGAAACGTAATCTTACAGCTAATTGTTGGGACCCCTTGCCATCTGTCTAGTATACATAAACCCTTCAAAATATTCGTTCATAACATAACCACTGAGTTCTCGAAACCATATCTAACATTTTCCCGAATAATTTATCTACTTTTGGTTATTGTATTCGTGTGGGAGCTGTCAGGCTGTGTGTTGAGGAGTGTTCTCTGAGTGTTTTTTAAGTATCTTCTGGGTAAACTCATTTACAGAGACACAGTTAGAGAGAGAGAAAGAGAGAGGGAGTGTGGCAGAGAGACAGAGAGCGAAGGTGAGCAAGAGTAATCGAAAATTGTTGTTGGTGGTGGAGGTGGGGGAGTAGTTCATGAATACAAACGTATTACAATTAGATTACCACACAAAAGGAAACATACTGTTTTACGAATGGAAGCACTTACCTTAATCTAATTAATCGAATGACATGAAACCTATTACACAACATGGAGGCTTTCGCCGCCTTCTAACAACGAATTAAGAACTTCCGTTGTGGCCCAGTATCATTTGAATACAATAACCGAATAACCGAACAACCGCACAATCGAACAACCAACACCAATATCGATATCAACAATATGAATAAGAACGCAAAACAAAAGGAAATCATATGTAAGAAACTAAGTACGAGCATATGCATATGTACACACGAAAGTCCTAGACCCACTCGCATACTATACGCGTACGTACGGAGTACTTACAACTGAACGCGCAGTATCGGATGAAAAGGAAATGAGAAAATGGAGTGCACGCTTGTTATACGAGAAAGTTTAAATATTAGACGTAGTTCATAGATTCATTCGTTGCATTACAGTTTACAGTTTAGATCTTGGACAGTTAAGGTTGCAGTTAGAGTTAGCGTTAAAGTTAGCGTTAGAGTTAGAGTTAGAGTTAGAGTTAGGAGATTAGAGCTTACATATCATACGCACAGGAAACAGATTACAGATACGAGTGTGATAGATAGATGGATAGCATTAGTTAGTAGAGTTGTTTTAGATTCAGATAGAGTTCAGTTAGAGTTGTTAAAGTTGGATAGTTCGCTAGCATTTAGATACGAGACACACAGGACACACACAACACATACTATAAGTAGTTGCTACTACGAGCGCCGGTCGATCGAGTACGAGTATTTAGCTGTTGATTATTACTGATTGATGGTCAAACATGTTCGGTGTTGTCTTGAGCAAAGTGGCACATGAGTAGCCGCTTGGTGGAGTGGTTGGTAAACGAAAAGGAAAACAACTGAAGAGCTCATACAATACAGTTACAGATACACAAAAGGAGAGCTTTCTGCACGGGACTCGCCAGAAGACGGCCGATGCTGAGTCGGATTAGCAGTCGTTACATACATACATATGTAGATGCCAGTAGCACTATGCCAGAATCGGAATCAACAACAATAACTTACTTGTGAAATCGTCGAGCTCCTCCTGCTCCGCCTCGGCGGCCAGTTCCTCAGGTGTCTTCTTTTTCCTCATCAGAGGATTAGGTTCCTCTTGCGGTGCAGCCTCAACGATTTCCTCTTTCTTCTTGATATTGTACTGGATATATGGCAAATAGAAATGAAATTATCGATAGATCAGAAAAAAATATTACATGTTGGCTTTGGGTGCGCTCATGATTTATTGGAAGGTACACTTTTGATCACTTGTTTCGTTCCACTGTTGTCTGTTCCTTTGTAATTCAATCTGACTCCGTTAGGGAGTCGCTCAATAAAAGGACTCCCTACTAGAGTCAATTTGAACTGCTGCAGGAAAACTCGTATACACAAAGCATCGCAAAGTTCTCAATAAGTAATCACTAATTAGTAAGCACTTATCGCTAATCACTAATCACACCAGCCCCAAACACTCACCTTGTCGCGAATGTCTTGCCTCATCTTTTCGCGCTCCTCCTCCATTTTCCGGTGCTTCTCCTTTCGTCGCTCCTCGGCCTCGCGGATGGCCTCCTGACGCTCCCTCTCCTCCTCCTCTGCCTTTTCCTTGTCATCGCCATCATCGCCGCCATCACCTCCTACGGCGCCTATTAAAAGCGAAGCACAGGATACGGATGAGAAAGGTTAAAAACAATGGCTATTTATAGGGCCATATCATATGTATATATATATAGTACGTAGTATAGTAGTATACATCCCTCCGCACTGCCATTGGGGAGCGTTTCTTCTTTGAATATTTGAGAACGTTCAAGAGCATTCGATTTGATTCAAAATCGGCCATGACCAGTTTAAGCTCGCTGGCATCGATGCCTGACACTTTGACACATTGATTAGACAGTCCGCCTTTGGGCTAGGCTCGCTATCGGGTTATCGCTATCAGTCCCAGTCCCAGTCCCAGACCTATTCCCATTCCAAGTCACAGAATCAGTGACACTGCCAGTGACAGGGTAAACAATTTGAAACGCGATTAGTTGGGATTGCGCCTCAGCAATATTTGGTCAGTGCCTCAGTCTGAAAACACACGACCAGCAGGGCATTACGATTCGTTTGCGGAAGTGCGACGCGGAATTAGCTGTGACCTTTGGGAAACTGACCTTTTCTAAGGCAACTAGCGCCAGAGTCTGTCGTCTACTCTTGTGGCAGTTGCAGTGGCAGTGAGTGCATTTCGATTCGAGTAGCCAGAGACACAACACGTGCAGGATGTATCTGAAAGTGTTGGCTGTTCTGCTGTCTGCGGTGAGCGTGAGCTGTGCAGACAGCTTTGCCAGCGTTGAGAACGACCTACTGCACTTCTCGTACAAGCTGGAGCAGTATCTGGACACCAGCAAGCTGCCGTGTCAGGACTTTTACGGCTATGTCTGCAGTCAGAGCGCCAATATCAGCCAGACGGGGAAAGATCGCTTCCAGACCTTCCTCAAGGTGGCCGACGATGAGCAACTTATGGACATGGAGCTGCAGCTTGTTAATTTCTTCAAGTCATGCGAGAGTGCTCGCGGACCGGATGCCTTGAAGAACTCGCAACTCTACAGGGCGAGCGGAGGCTGGCCTGCGATGGAGACCACCAAGCCGAACGCCACTGCACGGAGGAACCAGACTCTAAGCTGGCTGGGCCTACTGGGCCACTTCCACGAAATGGGGTCACCCTACTTCTTCAATGCAGAGCTCACAATGCAGTCCAACAAGAGGCTGGTTGTGCTTCGGCCGGACATCACCCGACGGCACACCATGAGGAAGTTTGAGCAGCGGGTTGGCGAGCTTCTTCAGAGCTTTGGTATCGAGCAGAGTCGGGCTCATGTGGCCGCTCTCGAAGTGCTCAGCCTGGAGCGCAGCCGCCGGGAAATTGTCAAGGCGGACCATATAGAGGATGAGGTGCAGTTCAGCTATGGGAACTTCAAGCGCAGTGCTTTCGGTAATGCCTCCTTGGCCAGACTCGACTGGGACGGCTACTTCAGGAAGCTGCTGGGCGGAAAAACGCCACAGGCCACCGACACAATCGTAGTGAAGCAGCTGCCACGGCTCGTCAACTACTTCGTGCTGCTGCAGAACACTAGCATGAACCGTATTCTCAACTGGATCTGGACGGACTACCTGATGGGTGAGTGAAAGGAAGGCTGTTAGTCAAGTCCCGTGCCAAACTTGGCCCTTTTTTGCAGATATTGTGGACTCCGACTGCCACCAGCTGGCGGAGACGTACGCCGGAGACATATATGCCCATGTTGTGCAGAGAGTCAGTGCGGACAGGGTGGAGCTCACCCAGATGTATTCGGCGGTGGGAAAGGCCTACACGGAGCAGCTCGCGAAGAGTGTGTGGGTCGACGAAATCTCTCAGCAGAGCTCTAAACAGTTCCTAGGCCGGATCATGCACCTAACCCTTAACGGAGACGAACGCCTGGACGCCATCTACCACGACATTGTGCTGGGACGGCGCAGCTTTTACCGAAATCTCGAGAAGCTGCGGCGCTTCCAGCGCAAACGTCGGCAACCGTCCCAGGCGAGCCTGCAGTTGCGCCAGTACGCACAGATATTTGACAGCGTCAACGCCCTGCTGGGAAAGCAAAATCTGAGCTCTCCGCTGAACCACTTGCTGGTTGCGGAGTACTTTGCCAGGAGCCTGGTGGCAGCGGGAAGCAACAGCCGTACTCCAGGAGCCTGGCGCAGTACGGACTCGGAGCGAAGGTTCAACGCGTTTCAGAACTGCAGCGGAGTCCCTGCCACAATGGTGAACCCGAACGAACTGCTCCTGGGTCTGCTGGCCCAGCGACAGGCCCTCAGCTGCTTCAAGGAGTGGCTCAGGCAGCCTGCGAGGATTCCGCTGCAGGAGCGGATAGACTCTCTTCTCGGTGTTGGGCGGATGAAATTGTCCCTGATCCGGCTCTACTTCATCGGAAGTCTACTTGTGGACTGTCGCTATGAGCTGGGTCCACTGCAGCAGGAGCGCAAGCGGCAATTGGTGCACGCCGTTATGCGGAACTCACGCGAATTCGGCGATGCCTTCCATTGCCATTCCGGCGATGCTCTCGCCGGACAGTACCAGCACTGCAATCTTCTGTAGGCTCAGGAATCGGAAAGGACACCGGGGCTGCACTGGATGTCGGTCGGACCTTGAACTTTTCAGGCTGCTCTCTGGCTCACGGAATAAAATCGATAAAAATGTGGCACTCCACGGAACTAAGCCGTCACATGGTCGGACGGTTCCGCGCCTGCCTACGGCGACCCCTTTGCTTTGAATCGATTGATTTTCCGAGCTGCTTTCCATCTGCTCTGGTTCTTCTCTCTCCCTCGGCAGAGGCAGCTTCGCATATGTTTACACTTAGGTTAGGTTACGTATGAGCTTATCGTAAGGCATAGAAGGGAAACGAAAAAATAAACGAAAGTTGTGGCAAAGACTTACGTTGGATAGATATTCGGTAAGAGTAGCGAGTAGCGTGGTGTGTGTTGGTTCAGATTGAGGTTGAGGTTGAGTACATGGTAGTACATATTAGCATTGAGTATCAGTGTGGTTCAGAGAGAAGACGAATCAGTGTTGTTCATAAACGGATAAACAGAAATCAAGATGCACAAGGACCATGGATCCGCAGGGGCTGCAGATTCATGAAGACTCAGGTTTAATTGTGTCATACCAATGAAATTCATGATTTCTGGGCGCCTTCAACCACTGCTATCTCCCCGTAGCTGTGCTTTCTGGTATTTCGGGGCCGAACGAATCAGTGCAAGTGCAACCGCTGCCTTGGCCGATGCTGCCACTACTGTCCACGCTGCGACGGGGCGACCTCACACACACTCTGTCGCCTGCCTCAGTCAGGAGCTGCAGTTCTAACACACTCATGCTGCCGTCGCATAAGTCGTCGTCGTTGTCGTTGTCGTTGTCGTTTTCGGCGCTCTCGGCGGCTGCTCCGTCGTGGTAGCGGCCCCACGGTTGCCATGGCTATCCCAATCGATTGTGGCGACCACCACGAAGTGCAAGTGCGAACGCGGCCACGAGCGCACACGAACTGATAGCCGCTGGTGAAAACTGAACTTCACTGGTGCCGACTTTTGGGCGATGCGGCGCGCGGTGCAATGCTCTGTATGTATTCTGGGCAGAGCCGCTTATGTCAAATCAGAGACGGAGTCAGAGTGATTGAACTTCAGCCGCAGGAGTGCAAACTTGGAGTAGGAGTACTGGCAGCGCTCGCCTGTCTTTTTATGTCCTGCTGCCGTGCCAGTTACAGAAGTCGCAGCCGCAGTCTCTGTCGCTGTCGAGGTCCGCGTCGCTGGCGCTGGACCACGTCGTGATGTGAGCATCCCACATAATGACACAAGCACAGGGGGTGACTCTGGTCTGGTCGTGGAGAAGCGCAGCGCCGGCGCCGGCGCAGATCCTCTCGATTCCATGAGTCGAAGTTTCGATGAGAGCAGCTAGACAGCTTTTCGCTCGCTCTAATTTCTGCTGTCCCACTCGTCGACGCGGGCAGCACCATCGACTGCGGCAGTTTCGCTGTTGTTCCTCAGTCAACTTCGGCGCAATCGCAAAACCTATACGCTCGATTCTGTTCTCTTGAGTGCTTCTAGAAGCGAAGCGAAGGCTCTGCTGCGTCGTGGGGATGACCGCACCACACTGTCGGGTGCATAAAGCAACTATATAGTTGCTTTATGGTCGGGTGTCTCTGCTCTGCTCTCTTTCTCTCGCTGTGGTTTTCGTTCTCGTTCTCGCTCTCCTTTTTCGTTTTCCTTCCTCTTTCGCTACTCCCCGCTACCCGCTACACTTGTGTGCAAAAGGCAACGCACATTAAATTGAATTTATAGTCATCAATTTGCTGAATAGCTTTGTGAATGAACTTTTTGGGGTGACTGTGACTTGATTTGCAGACGCATTTATTGTTTTCATAAATTAGTCTAAGTATTTTATAATAAAAATTGATTTCCCGAAATGGTGTCAAATGGCTGGAGGGCCACGTCCACATCCAGGACGTCTGTAGGTCCTGGGTCTATGTTCAGTGCCGTATCCGGACCAACACCAACATCTACACCCACACTCACCCCACCCCAGCTCCCGGTCTTTCCCAGGAAATGTGTCGCTTCTATGGGACTTTCGTAATTTGCTTTATGAACTTTACGAACTCTGAACTGCCAACTCGTGCCCACTTCCAGGTCTGTGCTGTCCTGTCCTTTTTGTGGCTGCAACAAAGGTCTGCTCGGAACGTGCGTATCTACGAGTATTTATGTACATGTGTATGTACTTATAAGTCTATGTACATGTGGTACATGTAGTACACACAATATATTTTTATGTACGTACATACATACATATATGTATATATGTATAAAGCGGAGAGCTTATGGGGAAACGCTTTAAAATTCGGTCCAGTTGCAGATCCGAGAAATGCCCCGAATGGAGTGCACAATTCAATTAAAAACTAATCAAGCCTATTGTAATATAATTATCATGACAACATAATTAACACCGCTTGAGCAAGATGTTCTCGCTCCCTCCCTCCCTCCATTCCTCCATCCCTTCTCTACGCATCAAGCATCTGCCTTTCCATCCCTTTTACTCTGCCCTTTGTTCTGCATTTTTCATTCCTCATTTTTCTTCGCTATTTTTTTCCGGCTTCTAATGGAATCGGACAACCCGTTGGTGGGCGCTGTTGATGGCCCTTTAAGACCTGCAAGCCTTCAATTTGCATCAGGAATGCTCCTGACAGCCCGAAAAATCGGTCCGTCTGTACAAATTGGTTGTTGGTTCTTGGGGTTTCTTTCTATCGTTCCTTTCACTTTTTTTCTCTTTTGCCGTTAAAAGCTTTACTCTTCGCTGCGTGTCATGGGTGAAATGAGGGTACTTAATACCTATGTGGTGCTGGGACGGGGGACTGTAATATGTATTTACGTACATATTTACATACATATGTACGATTGTACATACACCCGTACATTTATCGGCAAGTATTTGGTCGAAGTCATAAGTCTGATATACGAGCCGTGGCTTTTAGCAGTCTTAGAGTGCGTTTTATTGCTTGGCCTGCTATTTTGAATACCAACACGTCAGCGCAACCCGATGATGATGATAATGGAACGTGGCCGAACCCGAATTGGGAGCTGAGGATCTGCGGAGCCGCCGTAATTGTCCCCATCCGAATATACATATGTATGTAGCTTGTGTATGTGGCTGGAGGATAGAGGATAGAGATGAGGTCTAAGGCTGTACAAGTGGAAGTGGAACGGACGCTTGCCTGGTGACACTTATTCGACTTAATACGCGCACACTAAGGAATACTACATTAGAGTTCCATTTCCATTTTTATTGCGGCTGAGGATGGGGCTAAGGCTAAGGCTAAGGCTGAAGCTGAGGCTGAGGTCCCTCACCTACGCACGTTCTTTCCCATGTACATAGGAAATGTACATGGACAGGGGACAGAGATGGGGATGGGAAGTGTAGAAGCACATAGAAGCTTCACTCATTTGCGCGAAGTGCTCCAGGCCCCACCCCTCTCTCTCTCTCTGACGCTGTCATTTTTTTACTCCTGTCATTGTAAGGAGCTGGTGAAAAGGCACGAACAGCAAATTATTTTCTTGCTTAATCCGGTCCTAGCCCGCTCAGCTTTGTATTCTAGGATTCTGCAGAAGCCGCCACCATCTTGCACACATCTGGGTCAAAGAGACGGCAGCGCACAACGCACAACGCACAAATGACATGAAGCTGGCGATAGGCCTTATAGGAGCAGGAATACGCGACGGTTAAGTGTGGGCGGACTAGACGAACAGAGTGCGTGCGACTTCCACAAAGAGGTTGGCTTAATACCTATATAATGCCTATTCCTCTCACATCACATGCCCCGCGTTAATATTTTCATTGTCATAGTCGCTAATAGCAACTGCCCGTGTCCCCACCGTAATTACATTTTAACAGCTTCAAGGAGCCCGATATTCACTTATGGCCACACTCGCCCCGCACGAGTGCGAGCTACCCACGGATGCTTCCCCATGTGGAGGGTGGAGTGTGTGCCTGTGAGGGCGCATAAGTAAGAGGAAGTGGGCGTGTGCAAGTACTGAAATTATGAAGTGCGGCTCTGTCTCCGCCAGTGCGGACAAGTAGAAAATCTCATTGGCAGCTCGTTGCTAGTTGCATACGGCTCGTGCTCGTAGCGCCAGCAATTAGTTGCATGCCTCATCTGGTAGCGGACCACAGCTAGCATTTCCCCGGCTACCCTTTGCCAGGCAAGGAATGCTCGGAATGCGACTTCGTGCCGTTAAACTGGAAAATGTTCTGTCAAAAATGCTACACAGCTGTGAGCCCATTCGCAAACTGCATGCAAATATTTCGGTCGGTGTTCTGTTCTTGGATATTTGAGGAATTTTTAATATACATAATTTATGCAGAGCTCCGCAGTCCATCCACCCCGTCCCCTGTGTTACTGCTATTGGTATTGGGTCTGGGGATGTTACGGTTACGAGAGTGAAACGACTGCAGTGTGTGAATTACAGCCCATTGTGCGGATTGCTATCCAGGGAAGCACATATGTCCGCTGGGAACATGGGACATGGGACATGGGATTGGGTAGCGTAGCCCTTTCGCACGGCAAGGTGAAATTTACAATATCTGCAAGATTATGGATCGATATTGTTATGCCATGTGAAGTGTACATATGTATGAGTATACTCGTAGTTTTCTTTGAGTTGTGTCCGCCTTGTGTCAAAGTGTGGCATACCTACGGGCGTTCTACTTGTGGTTAGCATATGCCGTGACGCACGTGCCAAGACAATTTGAAAACTTGCAGATATCAGCAATATTTCCCTGCTTTAAAGGACTCGGACGAGGACGCCCAGTGTGGTTCGAGTACTATGCATGGGGAGTGTGGCAGTCCTTGCATGTGTAAAAATGTTTACTCATCAAAACGCATTCGTTGGGGCTCTATGGCTGTAGGGCTCCTGTTCCTTCTCCTTCGTTTCATACAACACATTTGTACTCGTACGAGTATCCATGTGTCGCTTTGCTTAATACCGCGGGTCAGGCGGGTATAGGGTGTTTTTAATGAGATAATATGAGATACTTTATACTTATACTTTACCTCATTGTAAATTCGTAGTATATAGGTGGTAGTTGAGTTGTAGTTAGAGTAGTTATAGTAGAATAGTAGAAGATGTAAGTAGGTTTGTAGTTAGTATGGTTCCATAATTGTTTGGGTAGTACATAGCAGTAGTAGTACGATAGTAGTAGTAGTAGTACGATAGTAAAGTAGAAGTAGAGCAGAAGTAGATAAAGAAGCAGTTTAACAAAACAATTTTCGCAGAAAGAAAGACTTCGAATGTAACGTTTTAAAGTTAACGTATTTTTTTTTACAAAATCAAACTATATTTTGGTCTTAGTTTCCACTACTCGACAAAATCCCACTTTTCTTCTCAAGGAACCAAACCGACTTTTTCTGACAGACCTAAACACGTGGTTGTTTTAGTGTACCGTATGGAAAGTAGAACCCTTTGAAATAAAAAGAAGAAATTGAAATTTTGACTTAAAAAACTTGGGAAAACTCGAAAGTGATCAGTTTTTTAGAATGACAAATTAAAACCAGATGTACGATACTTAAGTTATGTGAAAAAAAGAAGAGCACAAAAATACCAGTTTTAAACATTTCTTTAAACAACAAGTTCTGCCATAGAAAAAGAAAAACATCATCAGGCCATTTGTAAGCCCCATATCTTTTGAAAAAGTTGCTTTGGTTCCATGAGGGAAATCGTGTCGGGTATTGTTGTTGGCATAAAGATGATCGAAAGATGGATGTGTATGTGTATAATGTCTATGGAGTGTTGTAATCAGAAACAAATTCAAGTTGTTCATAGTATAATTGTCCCATAAACTTTTGCCAGCTGCGGTTCAAGTTATAAGTAATTTTCCTTCTTCTCGCATTTGAATTTGCGTCTCGCCTTTAAGCATATCTTAATGGAGTTCGATCGGAGACAAGTTTGCCGTACGCTGCTCAAAGTATTCCGGTTTAATTAACCAAACTCAAAGCTGAAAGCGCTTTCATGGGATGGAGCTAAGGAAACTCTCAGTTTGGGTATGTACATTTGTTGGGTATCGGTATTGGAGGCACACAAAAACCAATATATAACGGAGCAGCGTGGCAAAATGATCGGCAAGTATCTACGAGTAAAACTTAAAAGCCTGAAGATTTTTCGATTTTTTGGGCGTAAATTAAGCAAAACTTCCCAATTGCCGCCGGATGCTTATCATGAGGCTGAAGTTCAAACGGATTCTGGTTTGGAATTTCAGCGATTGATGTCGATCGAATTAGAGATTCTACTAATTTGTATTGGTTCGGGTACATTGTGGGATTTATGGAATATTTATGTTGGATGCTGAAAGGTGCGATGGCATCAGCGTTAGCACCACCATCATATCAAGTCATACAAGAAATGCAAGCGAGTACGAGTACAAGTAAAATGCAAAAATACGAAAGGTTGAGAAATTACCGCCTGCAGCATCTGTGTAGCGTGTGGTCGGGAAAGTAAAGGTAAAGTTTCATTAATATTCCGCTCTCTGTTTGGATTAGTTGCTACGCTTATGGACTGCGAGTTGCAAGTTGCGACAATTGTGTGTGTAAAGTAAGTATTATAAGTAGGAGAATAGTTAGTTAAATGTGGGGTTAATGGTACGAGTGGGTGAGCCGTACATATCATAATCATAGAAGAAGCTAAATAAGTAGAGAAACGTTGTTGAGGAGCTGTTTAATAGGAGTATTGTGTGATGTTATGACTATGACTGTGTGGGACTCGTGGAGGAGGCACCCAATAAGGAATTGTTGGATAGATCCTGGATGGCCAAGCAGCCCGTCTCTCCTCTCCTTTGATTTCAATTTCCGCTTTATATTTCAGATGGGTATGGGGTGTCGGGTATGGGGTATGGGGTATGGGGTATGGGTGGGTGCATGGGGATATGGGTGTGGCAGTCATGGCAATGGTCGAGTTCGAAATAAAGAGCGTAAAGAGAGACGAGTTCTGGTAGGCAGGAAGAAAGTGTAATAGAAGAAATTGAATTGTGTTTTCTGTATGGTTTTCTTTTTTTTTTTGTATCGGGGCGATGGCAGCTGGGCTCATTGCTGGCTTTTGTTGTTCATGGTGTTCCTCATTGTTGCTGTTGTTGCATGATTGTGTCGGGGATTGACGGAGAGAAAGGTGTACTGGAGTGGAGTGGCTTGGGGTAGAATTGCAGTGCTTGGGAGTCGTTCTTGGTGCTTGGACTGGGTTTAGGGGCTGGGCTGGTTTTGGGAGTGTTTGTCAAGCTCTCGTGTTAGTGTGTTTTACAATGAGGTAAAGTTCGGCTGTGGAGGCATTGCAGGAGCGTTCAAATATATTGTATTCTTTTCCTTTTCTTTTCTTTTCCGTTAGTGCCTCGAAGAGGGGGTTCTTATGCTGGCAAGGGATTAACGTCATATGATCTGTGAAGGTACTTATCATACATAAATTACGATAACTGCATATAAATACGTAGTTTTTTGGGAATTTCATAGAGTGGTACATGGGTGGAATGGACGGGCGAACAGGCAAACGGACGGGAGGAACGGGATCCAAAGTTGGCATTGCGGAAGGTGGAATGAGGGCACTGATGCCTTGAGATTGAAGACTAGAGCCTCGGGGGTTAAGGGGAATGGCAATGGTGTGGGGGTATGAACAGGAGAGTGCATATGCATATGGGGATTACTCGGTATTTGCGTAGATTATTTGAAAACATTCTATACTTGGCAATTTGTGTTGTGCAATGCTAAGCTTGGGTCAAAAATATATCGAGACTCGTTTCGCATTGAAAACCTTCCTCAGAGTTTCAATCTTGAACGGCTCTATTTGTACTATACACACATAAGTACTACTAGGAATATTCGCCAAATTTCAATCATGTATTCATGCTACTGCCAATCAACCGAAACCAAACCGAGCGTCCATTCAAAACTGAAACATAAGCGTGAATTGTAAATTGTAAATTGTAAATTGTAAACTAAACGGGTTGTGCCATCCAATACAATGATTCAGACTAGTAGTACATATTATTGAATTATACATATGCATATTAATAAATTAATGTATGTACATATGTCATCAAAACTCTTTCAAAACTTTTGGATCGTTATGTTAAGTGGGTAGGTGGGTGGGTTAAGTGGCGGGTCTCAGCAGCGATAGCAACTTACGTAACATTATTTGTTTGGTAGGATTCACTTATTTGAGATTCACTTTCGAACGCTTACCTGAAAATGTAATAAAATTTAGAATGTTATTAATCAAAGTGGAGACATGGAATTTATTGATTTGGAAAGAGTATAAGTAGTTGTCAGGTACATATGTGTTTTAAGGAAAGACGATTGTTACACCCATTTTACATGTATGCATGCATGTAAGTATGTATGAAAATTTGTGTCGCTTAGGCAATGCTTTAACGGATAGCACCCTCCTCCCCCTAGCTCACCCCTTTGACGGTGGATCGTGGGGAGTGGGCCCGGCTAGAGCTGGCCCAACAAATCTGGTCACGGATAGAACAAATCCATAAATTATCCTTATGTAAGACAGGCAATAGTAATAGAGGCTAAGTCGGGTCAAGCTCCAATAAATTGTCTGATAGCCAGAGCAGTCGTTGACAATGGAAACGCATTAGTCCCTCCATACCACACTCGCTACATCAAACTGAAAACCAGAAAAGATGTTTCCTCATGTGAGCCAAGCGTAGGGAACTGAAACCCGTTTGCCCTCTAGTCGCCATACAACATGCAACTAGACGAGGACGAAGGAACTAATAGCGATGGAGGCTTCCTTAAATATGGCTTTTATGGGGTATATTTTATTTCGCTTTCATCACTCTTCCGCAGTTTTATGGGGAACTTTAAGTGGCTGCTTGCTGCACCATTGAGCGCCGCACAGCGTCGAAGGTAGTCGCCACGGATACGGATATCTGCAACTTAGTACAAGTATCTCGGTAATTGGCACACGTACGAGTATCCGTTCAATCCTACATATATATACATATAAATATACATATACATATGTACAAGTATGTACGTATTTCGATATGTAACCGAATTGATTTGGTTTTTCGCACTTTACGCCCATGCTAATAGCGTTTCCGTGTTCCACGAACTTGCCAACTGCCATTCCACATCACTGCCAGCTCTGACAGCCCAATGGTCGGGCTTGGTCGGGCTTGGTCGGGCTTGGTCGGGGCCGCATTAGCCGCAATCTCGACCAGAGTCGCAGCTGACAGCTCGACTAAAGGAGCGCGAAGGGGCAGTTGCAAATGATTGAGCCCACTCGAGTAAGGGGAAAAGGTAAAGGGAAAAGGGAAAGCGAAAGCGACAAAGAAAGAGAAAGGAAAGTGATGCAGAAAATCCAACATCAATCTTTACAATTAAGTGTATCAATTTGTTGAAACCACTTGCCGGCGCATTCGTGCAGAATCTGTGTGCTCGATAAGGGGAGTCGGTAATGTGCACCCGGTCCAACCGGCTGCAGCCACAGGCGCGTAATGGCGTAGGAGCAACATCGGGGCTTGCAAATTGAACGGCTCTTCTTATGGAATAGAATGCGATGCGATGCGATGCGATGGTAACAAAGGGACCTTGTGGCTGGGACAGAGGGCTGCTCTATGTAAATGCTACGTTCGGGCTCCGTTCAGGCCCCGGCTGTGCTCCCATGTGCGCGGGTTGATAAGCAGTTTAGCTTGAATATCCTTGCCACATCCTCGTCCTCCAGCTGGCCCCCTTTTTGAAAGCATTCAATGATTTTCCGAGCGATTGCACAGACGCTGATTAAACAGCAGACTCGAAGGCAGCAGCAACAGCAAAAGCAACAACAATGGGACCAAATGACATTACCTAATGCCTCACCGGAGAGTGGAGAGTGGAGAGTGGGGAGTGGAGAGCAGGATGTGTATCTAAAAGCGTTGGCCACTTTCCCGCTCATGTGTGGTAATTTGTTGTGCTGCTGCGCAGCAGCTTGAACATGAATTATGTATACATTCCACTCCCAGAAATCCCATGGGGAAGGGTACGGCTATATTGATCGGGTGCCAAAAATAAAACCTTCCGCCCCCGCCGCTCGGGTGTACGAGCGAGTATCTGCGCGCGCGTTTTCGCCTGACTTACCTTTAACGGCACTTAATTGGTTTCCAACCATTTGCTTTGCTATGAATGCCGCCATCTTGGGGCTGTCGCTTTACAGGCGTGGCTTGATGAGGTCCTGTTCTGTCCTGTCCTGTTCCTGCCGGAGACTCCTGCAGGTCGCTGGTGAGTGGTCCGCTCTGGCCTCTTCGTCTGTAAGGCAGCAAAGAGAAAAGAGCAAATTAAATTGTGATGTGACAGGACGAGCTAAGGCGGGGCCATGGCCATGGCCACCGCCGACGAACCGCCAAGCTGGCCTGTCACCTGGCCCGGGCCTGATACTTTAAGCCGCTTAGCTTAAATGTCGTTGGTAGGATGCCTTTGCGGCCCCGTCGTGGACGTTTCCTTTGAAATCTCTCTCTTTTTCCCCATTTTTTTAATTCTGTGTCTATGTCTCGGTTTCTGTTGGAGACTCAGTTGATGCCAAATCATGTCCATCAAAAGCTGTCGGCGAGCCCCCTGATGCTGTACTTAATTCGGGGAAATCTAATATCCCAGACCTTGGTTTCTCTAGCACAATAATGCCGTAATGAATGTGGGCTCAGTGCCTCCCAAAAATTTTCAATTTTGTTAACGCCGCTGGCGGGGTAGCATCAGCTTTCGCCTCGCATCCAGCTTCAAATTTGAGAAAAGCATCCAGCTGCTGTTGGTCCTGTTGCTGTCTGGGTCTGTGTCTTTGCAACCATGTATTAATATTTGCGCAAATTGGGCTAACGAACTTAAGCTGGAAGGAAGCAGGCAGAGTGCTTTCTGGCTAGCAGCGCAAATTAAAACAACACCAGCAAACGAGCAACGAAATTAGTTTGACATAATAAGCGTTCGACAGCGGGTGGAGGCCAGATAGCGGATGCTGGACGACTGGCAGTTGGCCCGGTCCGGATCCCGGTCCCGATCCGAGGCAGTATCCCTGCTGCCTCGTGTTCGAGCTAATGAATTAAGCTGGGGCTGCATGGCATTTCCAGCTCGGGGCCCTGTGGCCAGCAGTCAGTCAGGCAAAGTCTGAATTGTTTGGCCAGAGCTATTGCAGTTTTGAAAATTCACTTTAATCTCTAGCTTCCCAGGGAACGGAAAATTGGTAGGGGGAAGGGGTTGAGGGTTGGACGCACTGTCAGTGTGTAAATGTATGTAAATAGAAGCTAAAATTTATGGCATTCGTGCTTAGAATTTTATGGGCAGGTGGCTCAAGGTGTGGCCCCAGCAACAACAGAGCCCGTTTCGTTTCCTTTTGCCTCAACAAATAAACAGCCCCGACCGGATGGCTATCCAATTACGTTTGAAGTTTTTTGATACGGCTATGAGAGTCGGAGCCAGAGGCAAAGCCAAAGCCAAAGCCACAGTCAGAGCCAATAAACACGCAAATAAGCTGTGTTCGACTTGTGTTCTACGAGTATTCCACCGCTTGACTCAGTCCTGGTTGTAAAAGGGTCAGAAAATATCTAGTATACGCCTCGCCACCCCTACCTTTGCTACCTTTGCTGCTTCAGCAGAATATCAAGTATGCGCAGAGTTGGCACAAACCTATTTGCTTTGGCTTTGTCGGCTGGCAACTGGGCCAGCTGAGGGCAAACGGCATCGAGTCCAAGTGAAATCGCAGATCTCCTTGGGAACTTGGCAGATTGTATGCTGAGGTTGCACTTTTGCAGCATTAGGCGCGCGTCCGTCGGCCACTTAGCGCGTGAAAATGTTCAAAAGTTTGCGCAAACATTTGAAGTAAGGCGCGTATAAGTTTGGAGCATACTTTGCGCATACTTTGGACAATTTTGGGAAGTTGGAAAAAGAATAGAGGCGTGCGGGCAGCCACTCACTCACTCACTTACCTGACTTTAGTTCAGTTTGAGATTCCTTTGAGATTGCCGGAGATTCTTGTGTGTGCAATGGATGGCCGTGGATGCTGCTGTTGCTGTTGGAGGTGGCAGAAGGAGCAGAGTTTGGAAATCGTTGGCGCTTAAGTGTGTGTTTGTTTCAAAGAAGTCCACAGAGAAGAGTCAGCTTGAGACAGATGGGGTTTCTGCAAGGCAAAGAGAAGAGAAAAATGGGTGACAGGTCACGCGGTATCATCTAATTGGAAAATAGTGGACACACACGTCTTCCCACACCCATCACCCAACACCCACCACCCCGCACAATATTCGGGCTATATACGGGGCTATCCCGAGGCGCAGTGTTGGTGGCTTTACTGTGACGTCGTTGTCGCTGGCTTTGTTGTTTTTATCAATTTTTCTTTCTTTAGGGTTTCTTTTATGAGAGCGTGCACGTAAGTGCCCATTGGGGGCGAGGTGGCGTGCCAGCCGAGGGCTGATGCCGGAGGAAAACAACATTTTTACGTAACACGCACGGCAAACAAATTCGATCCAATGCAATTTTTTTTTATATTCATTTTTTGGGAACAGAGTGCCAGTGGGGTGTGTGCCAGAGGCCCGAAAGATGTTGCGCTCGCTCGCGCAGACTTTTGACACTGATTATTACATAAAGCTCGTCTTCCCACAGTCAACTTATAGCGTAATTGAATTAGCTCGAAAGAATTTATTGCTTCTAATTGAATTAGTTTTCCATTTCGTCTGTCGGAACGATGGGCGATGCAAATGTGGGCAGGGGGGCCACGGTGATCTGTGATTGTGGAGGCTGCTCGCAATTTTCTACCGATGTGCGTTTTATGTTTTTTTTTGTATTGTTAAGCCTGCTGAGCCTTTATGTATGTATGTATATGTATGTGTACACATATATTCGTATTTACATAATGTACCAGGATGTAATGCACTTGTGCACACATTCACACTCATACAGTCACAAACGAGCGCACATTTGTCTGTGTGTGCTTTCTGAATACTTTTAGTTTTCCACTTTCCGTGGCTATGTTTTATTCGGCGCTTCTTACTTCATGCTATGTTCGCACTCTTCTGCAGCACACTGTCATGTTCCCTACATGGAAAACTCGACTCGTGCGGCGCCAGAACCAGAGCCACAGCTATAGCCAGAGCGGCGACCAGCTGTAGGCTGCTGTGGCGCAGGCTGCTAAGTCGGCGCCAGCGCCAGTTTCGTTCCCCTCTTCCTCCCTAAAATCCAATAATCGAGCCGAAAGCACTCAACACTCAACACGCAAGAGCGAAGCTTTTGCTCTGAGTCTGATATGGCCCTGAGTGCTTTTCGTTCCTCTTCTCGAGTGGGAGAGAGAGAGGCATTCGTCGCCCTGCTCTGGCCCAAGGAAAATGTACGCAAATTTCGCTCACACTCGTTTAGTGTAAAGGTAAAGCGCTCAGAGCGCATCTGTGCTTTTGGGGCTGTTGTCGATGCCTTCCATGCTTGCGTTTATGTAGTGGCCTTTCTGCCTTTCTGCCGTTTTGCCTTTCTCTTCGGCTAATAATATATTTATCTGAATCTACTTTTTGTCTATTACATAATTTTTTCATCCGCTCCCAGCCCCCACTCGCGTTTGCCCATTTCCCCAATCTCAAACTCAATCTCTCTTGCTCTCCCACTCTCTTGACTTTTTGACTTTGAAATACAGCGTTGCCCACATCTGTGCGCTGGCGCCTGCGCCCTGGGCCACAGGAGACACGATATTGATTCGATTCGATTCGATTCGATTCGCGTTTCGGCTCTCGCTGTCGCTCGGGTCGGTCCGTGTCGCTCGTAGTTTGTCCGCAAAAGCCAAAAGCGCTCTGATAATATGCTGCCTGTCCTTCCCTGTTATCGCTTTGTTTTCCCTGCTGCTCTCCCATACGGGGCATATGCTAACGAGTTGTGGACGACCATCATCATCATCATAATCATCATAATCAGTCCCACTCCACATCCAAAATGTCACATACACATACATACATACATCCACAACCACTGACATCGTCTTTGGCTTTGTTCGTTTTTCAGCTGTCTTTATAGTCTGTTTGCATATGGAACTTTGTACTCTGGCAGACATCGTCAAGTTGTTCAGAGCGGAAAGCGGAGGAAGCGCACAGCTTGAAAGAAGGAAATTGCTAAGTTCTGGCCACGTCCGCCCGGTGGTCCAGGGGTCGGCATGTAGCCGTGACAAGTGCATCAATTGCCTTGGAGCGATCTCAATAAGCAGCTTCGTAGGTTTCTAATTAGTTTGATACAAATCCAGCCATCCCCTTGCAATCCTTGCAGCACTGCCTGCAGGACTGATTCTATTGTTTTCCACTCAATTAATTATAGTTTCATCCCAGCTCGCAGGAGCTTTGTCTTCATGTACATGTATGTATACATACATATGTACAATAGTATATATTTATGTATTTATGTATGTATGTATGTGTGGATAAGTCTAGCTTTTGTTGCTCTCTGCGAGGAAACTGGAACTGGATTATATACCAATCAATTATATTTCTCGTCAGTGCTCGCTGCGCTGCGCGATTTAACTTTTTCCTTCACAAATTGCTTATTCCTCCCGCTCCAGCTCCCGCTCCCGCTCCCGCGGAGCTGACGGACGCTCCCTGCTTAAGATGAACGTCACGTCCTGGCCACCACGGCATTGATGTCTCTGGGGTAATACACGGAGTGCGGCAGTACGGGAATGGAATGGAGTTGGAAGAGGGGGAATGGGTACAAGTATGGGCTTGGGCACATTGTATATTGTGGCTAAGGAAAACCGACGGGCGTACGCGAAACAGCACTCGGGGAAACATTTTCTTTCTTTTTATTTTTGTTCTCTGATAGCACCAGGAAAGAGTGATTAGAAATTTTCACCTCCAACTGCTGGCGGGACGACGCGTCAGTGGGCTTACCTACAACCGTCGAAGGCACCGTATAACTACAAATATTCGTATTTCGTACAATTCCCTGCCAGGCACTATGCGAGCGGATCTACAACAACGTCACACTGATTCGGACAGTTCGGAAAGTTCGGACAGCCACGAGGCATACATACCGAAAAATGTCTCTGCTGTTGCCTCTGACTCTGCTCTGGTGCTTTTCCTGGTGAAAAACTACACGAAACTGCCGAAAACGTACAGCGAAATGCCAATCTGTTAGCCAGTGTACATTTTGTGGCAATAACATTCAGGCAAGAGAGAGAGAGAGAGTATTTCAAGTACCACGAGACCAGAGAAGCACATATACATAGACGGACAGAGAAAGAGAGAGAGAGAGAGAGAGAGAGAGAGAGAGAGAGAGACAAGCGGAGAGACGGAGACGCAGAGAGCAAGATTTGGGCCCGCTTCTGTCAGTTTTGACAGCCGACTTCTCCCCCCAAACCCAAGCCTAGAAATATAAAGCTTGCTGGCCAAAAGCTTGCAGCCAAATAGCCAGCTAATAACAAACTTTTCCCTGCCATGTAGCTGCAAGTGTGGACGTACGTAAGTGTTGTTGTGAGTATATCTGCTGGATGCGGGTCTCTGCCTCAGCCCTCACATACTCCTGGAAGTTATGGCGGGGCTCCGGGGTCCGATAAGCAAATAGCTTCATACGCCGAGTACGGGTGGATGCTCGCACGGATATGCCTGATGTACAGGAACCGGCGACAGGCGTTGGGTTCGCTAATTTCTGGCTCCATGTGCTCCGCCTTTTATGGGGCTGTTCCGCTTGTAAGCCTCACGCACCAGCCGTATGATATCGAGTGTAAGCGGGGCGCTGATGAGGTAGGCCCTGTTGCTGCTGCTGCCACTCGAGCCTTGCTGCACATTCGTTTGGGAGTGGGGAAGCTCTTAAATTCCTGTGGGTGTGTGCGTGCACAGGGCGTATGCGTAATGAACATATACATATAAATTATTTAATTAGGCCTTACGCGTCATCGTGCGGTGCCGGAGCCCATTATTTTGATTAAAATCAAACCCATTTCGCTTTATGCCACCTGTTTGGCTGCTCCGCCATCTCACGCTCTGCCTATCTGGCAGCCAGCCTGGGCGTTGTTGAGGCGCTTCGCATCGTCTATTGGTTTTGTTATGATTATTTTTGGGACTGCCTTCCGTTCTTCTCCACCTCTTCCTTCCAATGTTTAGCAGGCGGCAGCAAATTGGGCGCGTTTGGCGCATGGCAGCCGTTTCCAGCTTATTTGGATCCTAATGACTGCCGGGAGACCCATTCGCCTGGAGATTTCCGCAACGTAGACAGCAAGACAAAGTAGTCTATTTGGTGAGACAAGCACCGAAACGGAGATGCCCTTGGGGGACAATTGAACAGAAAGTGTCCCACGCCATCATCAGGTGTTTGCTGGGCACAATGTTTGTGTCTCAATACAAATGAAAAAACTTTACTCGACTTCTGTCAGGAATACACCACAAGTCCAGCCAGATCAAGTCGGTCAGTCGGTTGCCTTGAACTTCTCAGATAAAATATCAAATGATTGCCATTCAAGTCGACATGTAAAATAATCCGAATAATAATCGTAAAATGCCTTATGAAATGATTACCTCTACCTCATGTAAATATTCTATATTTCACTTGCCACCCAAACCTTTGGGGGATGTCCTTTGTACATAGCTGGTTATACCCGGGAATCGAAAAGTCAATAGATTCTATTGTATTTGTGGTTGAAAAATGTAACCCACAAAAAGAAACGTTTCCGACCCTATGAACTACATACATAGATACATACATATATGTATATATTTTTGATCAGTATCAATAGCGGCGTCAATGGCTGCGTTCGTCCTGAGTAGCATCTAGTACTTAGAGTCCATAGGAGCTGGAGAAAATGCTGTAGATGACAGCTGTAGAAATTATGTAAAATGTAAGACCACAATATTAACAAAAAATGCATAAGGTATGTATGTACATACATCCAAACATGTGAGATTTTATGTTTATTGATTATAAGTCAAGGTTAATAAGTGTTTGGATATGGTATGGTGGTACAAGAATTTGATTTCGCACACAACATTTTACGTCGGAGGTTGGGTAGAAATTCGCTCGGCCCTCTCTCGCCGATCGGTGGTCCGCTCTCGCTCTCAATTCAGTCTCCTTCGTTTTCTCTTTGCGTTTGTTCTCGTGTTTGGAATTCGCAGTGACGAGAATTCACCCTTGCTCGCTTTGGTGTTTTGTCTAGGGATCGCAATTGGCAAAACCCAGCACACATACCTAAGGTACATAATGCATATGTATGTATGTACATGGTTATATACTGACCGAGTACCGGGTATAAAAGCTGTGACGTTTTAAAGCGGATGTTTTATCTCAGGACGCAAACGTTTTTCGTATTTTGAATTGCCCACCACAGAAAGATATTCATATTGTATTTTCCCTGTCACAAAATATTTATATTGAATACCATGTCCCATGTCCCCCCACAACGGCTTCCTCACTCCTTTTGATATGACAAGTGCTTTGCCCGTTCCGCTCTCCACTCCTCGGCACTTTACTCCCCGCTCCACGTCCCCTCATTTGCGGTCGTTTTCAATCAATGAGAGTTCAACAGCAGCCGCCGCAAAGATGACAACTAAACTTCACTTCTCCCACAGACAATGGCAGCTCGAAGGCCCGGCAAAAGCACAAGCCCAGCCCGTCGGGTTGAGGCTGCTTTTGCGAGTAAGTTGAGACGAAGTGGTGGTGGCATGGGGGCTTGGGGGAGTGGGGATGTGACAGGCAGAGTGGCTTAATTTAAAACGGTTTCATGTTGTGATTTTGACAAATGATAATTTTTTGCATGTGTATGTGGCAGGGCAGCGCCTTTGTGCCTGACATGTCGGGCAAGCTCATGCTCATGCTCCTGCTTCTGCTCCGAGTGAGATACTCATATCTTGTTGGTCGGTGTCCGTTTCCCTGTGGCGTTCGGTCGATGAGTTGGCAGATAAATATCCGAGTCTCTAACCAAAAATTTCCGGAGTCATTGCCGCACGGAGTATGTCAAAGGCTCGTTAAGTAAGTAAGCTGCCACACACACCACAGTCAAACCCACACCCACACCCACACCCACACCCACAACCGTACCCCTACCCAAGGACACAAATGTTTCAGTTTCAGCACATCAAAAACTATGTAACCAAGGGAACAACCCACCCATCCACCCGTCGCACCAGCACAACCACTTCATCCACAGTGGCAATATCAGCACATCGGAGGCAAACAAAAAGAGGCGTCTGCCACGGACAGGGCGAACGGGCATCGATCAGGCAATCAGCAATCAACTGCCCCAACTCCCAACCTGCGACATTGCACCCACTTATTGATTTCACAAAAATCCCAAATCCATTCCCCCATTGCCCAAGGTAAGGAGTTTTCGTAACCAGTGCCCCGTTGCCATGGCTTTCGGCTGTTGGCTGTTCTCTCTGTCATTGCCATGGACGTACATAGAAGAGACGCGGGGCTTAGCTGCCAAATTGGCTAAATGCGTATAAACGGCTTGAATCATGTCCGAGACCCAATTCAACTACAAACACCCGCAGCAGCAGAGCGATACAATTTTTGAGAACCAGCAGGGAGCAAATCCGATGGCCAGCTGCCGCCCAGCGGAATCGATTGAATCCACCGGTGAACAGCGATGGGCTGGCTTTGAGCCGCAAATTGTGCGACAGACGATACACAGCGTGACACTGCATTGGACGCCAATCTCAGGCGCATTGGTGTACAGCGTCGAGAGGTACAACAGGCGCCACGGCTGGCAGCAGGTGCACTGGAGTAGCAGCTCTCCCATCGAGATACCCAATCTGGAGGAGAACTTTGGCCACCGACTGCGCATAAGAGCGCTGAACCTCTCTGCGGATGGCCGCTGCTACGCGACTCTAGCCATCTCGCCGGATGTAATCGTAAGGAAGAGCCCCAGAACAATCGTCGATTCCGGAAACACTTTAGTTACGCTTTCTGTTGCTTCTCCGAGTGCACGACACAACTCCGGGACTAGTCACAGTCAGTAGGTTAACTTATTGATGTATTTATTTCATTTTTAGGGCTGCACTGAGGCGGCGCTGCCGACCACCAACTGCCTGAACCGTGCCATTCGAAAGGGGCAGCAGTTCCTGGTGAAGCGCATGTTGCGCCGTCGACCGAGCCTGATAGAGTACCCAGCCCCAAATGGCTTTCTGCCGCTGGCCAATGCCATTGTGCAGGGCGAGATGTGCATCATAGATGTGCTCCTCTCGGCCGGCTGCAGCGTGCATCTGGGCAACCCGAGAAACGGACGGACTCCGCTCCATGTGGGTAGTGTTGTCTGAGGAGTGTTGCATGTTGCATGTTGCATGTTGATGGAACTATTGAAAGCCCCGTTCCATTGCAGTTAGCATTTTTCCACGGACACCTGCCATCGGCGCGCATCCTGCTGAACAAGAAGGCGCGGTTGGAGGCGACGGACTGCAACGGCATGACGCCCACCCACTGCGCCGTTGACGCCAATCAGATGGAAATGGTGAGATTCGCCCTGGAGGCGGGCGCCGACATTGAGGCTCGGGATGCCTGTGGCTGGACTCTGCTAATGCGTGGGGGTAGGCGGGGAGCAGGGGGACTGCTTGACTGTTTCAAATGGAATTTAATCTTGTTTTCGGTTGCAGTGGTTATGGACGCGGGCCTGGAGCTCATCAAACTCCTGGTTACCCACGGCGCAGACCTGGCGGCTGTGGACGGTGTCGGCAAATCCTGCAGCGACTTGGCGAAACTTTACCGCAGGCAGGAGGCACGGGATTACTTTGACAAGGTGCAAAAGTTTAGGCTGGCAAAGGCAGCCGCGACCGCAGCAGCGGTGCCACTCGAACAAGCTGCAAGAAAGGATTTCCGCGAATAGTGCCAGCAGAAGCAAAGGAAGAACTTTGTAATGAGCGCGAGACAGAGAGAGACAGACAGAGAGAGAGAGAGAGAGGGAGCTTTAAGACCCACTATATGTAGAGTTGTAATATATTTAGTTAGGCAAGAGCCAAGTGTTTTCTCACAATAATCAGTTTCGTTACAGCGAAGTCAGACACAGCTGGAGGATTGTGTCTGATGGCCGCACGAGTAGCTATTGATGAAGTCTTCGTTTTGCTTGAGACCCAAGTAGAAGAGGGACTCTGCGAGGTTCTTGCCAAACTCGCAGAAGTTCTGTGCGTAGAGGGTGAAGAAGAGGCGCTTGTTGTTCAGGTGGTACTTCTTGAGGATTGTGTCCTCGTGGTCGTAAATCTCGCGGTGCGTCGTTCGGGAAATTATCCAGTCGCTGTAGTCGTGCCACGCGTAGCGGAAGCTCTTCAGGTAGATGACAGCCAGCATTCGGGCCTCGTCCAGGACGTTGACGAACTGCGGCAGCTTGAGGCACTCCACCTCTTCGCGGAATCGCGTAAAGTCTCGCTGTCGCTCGGTGCTGTTGAATAGGGTCATGTAAAGGTGGACGGTAAAGGTGGGGTAGAAATAGGACATCGGCTTGTTGCTGCTCTGGAACAGATAGAGGCTCCAGTCCAGCATGGTTCGCTGCACGCCCAGCTCGTAGGTGGAGTTCCTCTTGCGGTGCTGCTCCAGATTTCGGATGTTGTGCTCGTAACTCTCGCGGTAGACGCGCAGAGCCCTGTACTCCCGGTTCAAGTCCCCAGAATGGAAGTATATCGCGGGTGTGCGGAACTTCTCCTTGTACGTGGCCAATTTGCTAAGAATGGGATGCGAGTCCGAGCGAAAGATTTCCTTTGACCTGGCCACGAAGCGGTCCAACACGTCCAGAAAATCGCGCAGCTCGTGGCTGCTGGACTCCACCAGGTTCTTGGTTATTATGAATCCAAACAGCGGCTTGAAGAACTCAAACGTCTCGCGATAGCAGTCCTCTACCGAGCGCAGAGTGTTGCAAGATATGAAGAAGTCCATGAGCTTCTGCTTCGCCTCAAACTGCTCGGGATCGTTCTGCAGCTGCGTCATCAGCTGCATGAGCTCACTTGTCTGTGGCATGTGACCTGCGGACAATGCACAAATACATATGTGTATAGGATCTGTGCTTAACCCTCCTGTTCTGTACCTACCCATGATCGAGAAGAGTGGTCGATTACGACTGCACACGTAGTCGTAGTAGCTGTCGCAGGCGTATATCTCCGGGTTAATCGAGTCCCCTATGCGAATGGCAAGATCATTGAGCTCCTTGATCCGCAGCTCTGACATGTGTCGCACATAGGCAACCTGCGCCTGCGCTGTTCCCGACCAAACACAGAAAAGTAGGGCAAACGTCGCTCCCGCTCCCGACTTCATTCTTCCCGCTATTAGCTGATTTTTCCGGCTCTGCGTTGTTCCTCGATCGCGTACTCGAAAGCACTGAGAGTGAACTCTGGACTGATGCAGCCTATCCGCGCCACGTCCATTACTCAACCTAGAGCATATGAGCACCCAGTAATTGCAGATTACGAGGCTACCCCGAGTGTACCCTCTAGATCCGCACTGACTTCATGGCGGGTATCTTTCATTCGAAATGAAATATTTCGAGTATTTGTTTTTATAATTTTGTATGCTTCAGTTTGAGTTTCTGTTTTGCGATAAGCATGTCAAGTCGTATCAGTGAACTGCTCTCCCGCTGCTATTAATTGTTCTTTATTAATCATTTAAATTCGTAGCTTTAAGGGTCTGCCTTGGGTTTCGCCTTAGCATACACATCGGTGCGCCGTTGCTGGTAAATGGGAATTTGACGACGAACTTGCTCAACTATGTCAAAGTCTGCGGGAGGGAAAGTGCTTTGCTGTGTTAGGCCTTCGGCATGTAGGGAGCAAACCGAACTCACCGATTCTCTCTACAATGAACTCGCATCCCTCACCAGCCTCGCGCTGGACTCGGGCCCAGGGGTCGACGATCATCGAGTGGCCGTAGGCCACATATCCCGACATGTTGTCCCTGGCGGGCGAACAGGTGACCACGAAGAGTTGATTGTCCGTGGCCCTGGCCCGCTGCAGTAGCTCCCAATGCATCGGCCCCTGGCAGATACAGAAGGCCGAGGGATAGACCAGCATGGAGCAACCTTGAGCGAAACGCATCATCGTGTATCAAGTCAACACTGGAAGACGCACTTGAGACCTACCCATATTGCGGTAGATCCGAGCCAGTTCTTCGAAGCGTTTGTCATGGCAGATGCCAATGCCGACCTTGTGCTGGCCAATCTTCACCACCGTCAGCTCTGAGCCAGCCGTCAGGGCAGCCCCTTCATCGAACTGCACACCCCCTCCGTGAGCGGCCACAATGTGCATGGTAAATAGATGAATCTGGCAGGATGTCAGCAAATGGACTCGGATGACCCACCTACGAGGGCTTACCTTGCGATGTCTCCCGATGAGGCTCCCGTTGGGCGCCCATACGGTGCAGGTGTTGTACAGTCTTTCCGCCTCGCGCTCCACGATGCTGCCCCCAATTATGTAGATGGCTAGCTTCTGGGCGAGGCGCGACAGCGCTTGGCAGGTGGCCCCATCTGGTATCGACTCGGCGTACTTGGCAAAGTGCTTCACGCCGTACGGAGCGTTGAAACTCTCCGGCAGAATGGCCAGCTGAAGCGTCGGATTCTCCGCCTTCAGCCGTTCAATGCCCTCCGCTGCTCTACGTACGTTCAATGCCACATCTGCGCCCACTTGCAACTGCAGCAGTGCTAGAGTAAGGGTATCTGCAAATACTCAAATTCAGTTAGTGCCACATTCGACATCTTCGTCGCAGTTATCCCACTGTTGGTCATCGGTAATGCTGCACTGCTGGACTGCTACTCAAATGTGGAACTGAACTGACAAGCTGCTCTTTATATTCCTCTTAGGAGTCCGTTTACATAACATTATAAGCGTTGTAGTCTCATTTACTGTGCCTACTAAAAATTTTACAAACGACAAGAGCCGATAAGAGATTTTGCATATATATTTATTTATGTATATTTATTTATGTATTCGTATTGCATGCATATTGTGTGCATTGGCTTTGCAATTTAAGATTGTGCATCTCATTCTATAGTATCTATAAATATTCATTTATACGTAAGGATATTGGGAATAAGGTTGGGTACTGCAAAGCTATTAAGCGTTTTAAAAAGCTGTAGATTTTTAATTTAAAGAATATGTCGAGGGGGTTCTCTTCAAAGGTAAATGTACCTACCATTTTTTTATAAGCCATAGCCTGTACAGTTATACGAACGCTATGAAAATTAATAGCTATCGTCATAGCTCAAGGCAGATGCAGAGCCGACGGGCCGTAGTGACTGTGCCCTTATGCAGAACAGCTTTGCCCTCCTCTCTCGCTCTCGAGGTTGGATGAAGGCAGGAGAACGTTAGAGCAGCTTGGGCTGCTGCTAACTAAAGGCGAAAGAAATATAGAGAGCGAGAACAATGCAGGAACGAAGAAGGCGGGATTCTAGACATACATACAAATGTACACATGGACGCATACATATGTATGTACGGAGGGGGCATTGATTCATTTTACGAATAAATATCGGGCTGGGAAATCAAAAAATGTGTGTGCTGAATATTTTATAAATTAATATCAACAGCAATAAGGTTTGCGAAATAAGTCACCTTACAATGCTTATGATGTGCTGACAAATCTGCTTCGTTGGGTTTGGTCTACGCGTCCTAGTTTCAGTCAAGATATTGACCGAAATGGCAACAACAAATTTCAGTAGAAAATCTAATTATGTTTCTTTATAATTTAAAACGAGAAGGGACGTGTGAGACGCTTCTTACGCGTCACAACTCTTATACCCGGCACCCACATCCTGCAGACTCGCGGCAGAGGCAGAGGCAGAGGCAGCGCCCGCACACAAAAAAAAACAAATATAAAAGGGGTTAAAAGTGGGTTAAAAGTTGGCAGTGGCAAAGGCAGAAGGACGGCAGAGGCCGAGCGAAGCAGAAGCAAAGTGTGAATGAGAGAATATGAAAAGAACCACAAAAGCTGCGGGACAGGGTGGGCTTAGCCACTGGAACTTAATTTCTTCATTGTGGCTATAATAATGATCCAATCGGATCCCAATTTGGTGATAGATATAGATATAGATATACATAGATATGGTCATTCCCTACAGAATGGCGTTTTTAGTTTTCTTTTATCTTCAAAACTGTAGGTTTGGGAGGTTTTCGGCCTTTTGCGGAGGCGGAAGGGGCGGGGCTAATTGTTGAAAAACACTGGTTTCAGTGTGAGCATACAGCAGTCCGGAGCCAAAGTTTGGTGGCTCTAGCTCTTATAGTCTCTGAGAACTAGCCGACAAACAAGACGGACGGACGGACAGACGGACAGCCAGACATGGATCTATAGACTCGTATATTGATGCTTATCAAGAATATATATACTTTATGGGGTCGGAAACGTTTCCTTCTGTGCGTTACATACAACCGTTATTCACACAAATACAATATACCCTATTTACTCTATGAGTACCTAGTATAATTAAAAAATTGTAATAAAGGTTGTTATTTTCGTAAGGTGACTAAGTTTGCACACCTTAGCTTCTTGGTTCCCATTCGAGTGGTATTTACTCAATCGATTTGATCAGAGTTATAAACGATAAGGCAGCCCGACATATCTGTAAGAGGAACCAATGGACTCTGATAGCTTCGAATTAAGGTCTTCAAATTCAATACCGCAAGGAAGTTCCCCAGAGAAGCCTCGTAGAAGCCAGCCTTGATGAGCAAATCTCGCTGGGCTCGCTGTATGATGAATGTCAAGGATCTCCGTAGCTTCGGGCTGGCCTGATACCAATTGGAGAGTTGGACGGACACATCGACCCGATGACTCTGGAATGCAGAAAGGACCATTAAAACAATAGTACTACGGAAAAAAGCAACGGAAGGTTGTACCTCGACTTTTATGATTTCTCCGCCATAGCAATATATGAATAGTTGCAGCATGATGGAGCCCAAAAATGACAGGTACACCAGGAGGGCCATAACCGAGTCCATGTTCTGTAAGTAGACAACCTCATTGGAAAGAATTGTTCTCAGGTGGCACGCTAACGACTCTGCTCACCGCCACCAGCTGGTATATGATTACGCCGACCTGCAGCGAAGTTATGAAGAACTGCCCAAACACAATTGGCATGTACATCACACGTAGCCGCTTGGAGAGGGCCAAGAGCTGCACATGGTAGTTCACCACGGCCTTCAGGGCCTCCTGCATCTCCTGCTCGGGCAGAGCAAAGTCCGTGTCTTTTATGTCGCGTTGCAAGGTCTGGAAGTGGGCTCGCAGGTTAATGGCGAACGAGATGAACAGGCCATCGACGGCAGAGGCGTAGGTTACAACGACGATGGTTACGAGCAGAATGTACACGAATCCGATTTCGTATCCGGGACTATCCACATAGTTGAATGGGAGCCTGCCGGAAGAAAGTTGGCAGATGACGTGATTAAATTAGAGAATCGCTTCCACAGAGTGGCACCCACCTCAAGGGCATTGGCAGCTCCCTTACATATGTTGTGCCAAGCCAGCTGTTGGCAATAACCTTCAGAATGGGCGACACCATGAAATAGAGTCCTGTGGCGGCGCAGGAGAAGCAGTATGCGCGGCCCAGCAGGGAGGCAACCTTGTTTGCCTCGGCCACGTATGCGCGACCGTCTCCAGCATTCCGCCCGCTTGCTGTCAAAAGTTTTGCAGATTATAGTAATTAGCATTGGGCATTGTGCATATTGTGCATAAATTAACGTCACATCGAACTTACATTGCTGATGCATTCGCCTAAAGCTCCAGATCATCCGCCAAAAGTCCTGCTTGTACACGAGGAAAGTTGCTATCTTGAAGAGGGTCAGCAGATTGGTGAGGAGCACACTCAGTCCTGCCGTGGCCAGCTCCATGTCGTTGCGGTGGTACACCACATTGTGGATCAGGGGGTACTGCGCTGATGCTGCAAACAGCAGAGACACAACGTGCTTCAGGCTCAAAGCCCCACCGACGGAGCTATCCGGCTCCTGGCTGTGCCCCATCGCTCTCAGGCAGTATTCCTGCAGTTTAAATATTCTCGTATGAGCCATGCCTATCAATGTCTCCACCCGTTATACTCTCACTTGTTATATATACTCGCTTGAATATTTTAATTACCGCATGCTTATGAATTATTAGTTAATTATTTGTTTTGCCAACGACTCCCCTAGCATTGAACTAATAACCATAATTGCCGCCATATCGATGACATGTTGACATGATAATTGTGACACAAATTCCTTTTGATTGAAAAATTGGTCCGTTGAAGGGTGCCTTGTCTTTATATTCTTACTTGAAGCCACAAACTAAATGTGACTCTGTCGAATTAGGGATACTGTAGCTCGTCTGGTACAAGCAGATTAAGTTTCACAATCTACTAGAAGTATATTTATATTTCACACTTGATGTACGCGGGAAAAAAGTAAACGAACAGTCAACCCAATGATCCTTACTGTGGGGTTCATTAAAGAGAGTTGAAAAGTGAATAAATTGTTCCATGTCTTCCACGGAATTTTACTAAAATCTGCTATCAATGATCTCAATCAGCCTAATGACTTTGCATAGACGAATTCGTGGTAATCTCGCAATGGATTTCATACATCTATGGATTCGATTTGGTCGTGCGATGAGACTTTGCAAGACAAGTTAGCTTTTCCATTGAAAGTCAACGGCTAAATTCAACAACGATTTCAGTTTATTATTAACAACGATTTTTTTAGTAGCTTGGAGTTTGATTTGAAATTTCCTGCTCAGCTCAACTGTTTAGAAATTGGGCGGCAGATAGGCATTGCCTGTGTGCGATGGGCCAGCGGAGCCAGAGGAGATGATCTGGCCGCCTCCAGTGCCGCCAAGACCGCCAGCCTCGACATGTCCATCGTTTCCGCCCAAGGCGCCTATGACGGAGGTCACGGGGGCCACACCTTCGTCGGTCAGCTGGCTGCTGCCTCCCAAGGCGTCGTATTGGGCCTGGATCTGCTGCTGCGCATGGGCCGCCTCCTCCTGGGTCTTGTACTTGATGAAGAAGACCTCTGGCTTGCTGGTGGAGCTGGCCTGCTCCACCACCTCGGCCTGGACGTCGCTCTCGCCCTTCTTGCTCAGAACATAGATGACGGTCTTCTCCTCATTGGAGGCTGGGCTGATCTTGATGGTTTTCTTGTTGTTGCGCTGCGGCGACTTGATGAACACAACGTTGTAGTTGCGCTTGGGCACGCCCACGGTGATGTGACGCTCCTTGTAGTCCTCAGCCTCCTCTGGAGCTGAATGGATGTAGAAGCGCTTGGACACGATAGCCTGCTGCTGCTGCTGCTGGAGGTGCTGGTGCTGCACCTGTTGCACCTGTTGCACCTGCTGGACCTGCTGCACAGCTGGCTGCTGGAAAAAAGTCTGCTGCTGCACGGGAGCTGCCTGCGCACTGCCCTGGAAGAAGGCCGACCCGCCACTGGCGGTGCTGACTCCGCCAAAGCCGGATGGGGCAGGATTGTAGTTGTAGCCTTGAGGCGCGGCCAGCGCCATGGCGGAGAGGCACAAGACCTAGGTAAAGAGAAGAAGAAGAAGAAGAAGAAGAGAAGAAGTCGGGTTTAGTCCTTTAATTAGCCGCAGTCCTGCCACAGTCTGCCGCCTTACAATGAATCCACGCATTTCTGGGCTTGGTTGAGCTGGTTTAGTGGGGCTAGGAGGATGAATGTATAACTTCCTTAGTTGTTCGCTGTGAACTGTATGACTTGTGTGCTGTTCGCTCGGCTTTTATACATCACCCGCAATTTACGGCTCCGAAGCCGGCACTCGACGACTTGCACGTAATAGGTGAAGTTCAGCAAAGATTCAGAGGCAGAGACCCAGAAA